ATGCCCTATGGGCCTTTTGTTAACAAAAACAGACATATTGTAAGTGCCGAGTGTGATCATCCCGGAAATGTCGCTTCCTTTTGTACGTTTGAAGTGTTTGTTCATATTATAACATTGACGTTTCAATTGTAACAAATTATTTGTCAGTAGCTTTAGCCCTAGTCCTAACAAACGGCACTTCTATATGATCGTATCTCTCGGTCTGTCGAATTCCAATACGGCTTTATTCTCTTATCTATAGACAAACGTTTGACAAATCCTGTTACCTGATACAATACAAGGAAATACTTACATAAAAAGATTCAAAAGATCTTTTTGAAGGACGGTTTCCTAATTCAACGAAGATTTGAAATAATTTCGTTAGACTTAATTTATAATCAAGAGGTCCACTTGGCCTGTCTTGCTCACCTGTTTCTTTCGTTATCTTGAGTTGACAAGACGTTAAAATGACTCCGCTGAATTGTGACTATTGTGTGCCCTCTCGGGTTTGCTTTATTAATCTCAGCATCCTATAAACTAGGGATGCACCGCATAGGTGTATTGGTCTCCTTGCGATAACGCGGATGGTGTATTGGTCTCCTTGCGATAACGCGGATGGTGTATTGGTCTCCTTGCGATAACGCGGATGAAATGCCGACTATAGAGTGCCAGCTTACCACGTTCACGTGGAAGACATCCAGCACAGCATTCCATTCAGTGAAAGTATACTGAAAACGTATAATCCAGTTCATCAATCAGAGAGAAGTCAGTAAGGACTTCAAATTGCCTCAGTCAGGGAACAGCGCCCATAGCTCTCCTGGCATGGACGGACGCTAGGCACCAAGGCCAAAAGCGAGGTATAGCTAAGAAAAGCGTTAGGAAACAAAGACGGTGTTAGTCTAGAGATGAAATGAAACATGAAGATCCTAAATGTTACAACGGGTTCAGCCGACTTAATTTAGACGCTTTTATGTCCCCAATTAGAGGCCAATCCCTAATTCTTTAGAGGGTCCCAGATTAGTCACCTCTTACGATAATGGACAACGGTAGGTATTTATTTTACAGTGACATCACACTGTCTTATTTCCTATTTCATGTAAATACCCCACGAATATAATAAATGATATCAGCCATATGTTACACAGGGAAAATGTTAGCCCGAGTTTCCTCTGCCCCTGCCCCTTTTGACAGCTATATAAACCTGGTGTGGGTATTTATCTGTCTAGTAATAGGGCTGGTGTCAGGGCCAGAGGAAACTCGGCTAGGAAAAGATCAGGTATGACAAGCAGTTGGTTTCTTCCAGGAAATCAATGTCAACAATAAGAAATATTGTATTACAGAACATTATATGTTTTACTTTGGACGTGTAACTATAACAACCTTGTGTCTCATGATTGAACGGCTAATAGCAAAAATGACCCAGCTTATAACGTGTTGAGGTAAAACACTGTTACGAGACTACCGAACAACAATATGCATACTTTAATTAAGTTTACAATGTCAGGCCTAAGAGTTCATTTAAAATGTACAACAACATTAATTTAGTATTAACCAAGTCCCTGATTGTTTCCGTGTAATTGGTCGGTATAGGTACACAATGAAGTCTGGCTCGCTACAAGTACGAGGTGCCACTAAGCGTTTACGAAAAATCCTCCCATAAAAAACCCTTAGAATAACTTTACAAATTTGGAAAAATCAATCACTGGATAGCGTACGCCCACACGTCGTAGCTATATGTGTATTTACTGGGTATTCTAGGTCTTACAGAAAGCTCCTCATTCAATTCTACGTAGCGCTGCTGTACTTTCACTTTCTGTTTTGTAATGCCTAATAGTTAGCTTCTGTATAAGTTTATATATTGTTCACTATTGCAGTTTCTTTGTATATTTGTTGTTTTATTATTTGCCTTCAAGTTACTATGTAACTGTAAATGAGCAATACAATTATTGAATTGTTAATTTATTAAAATAAGGAGTTATACTTTAAAATCTGACTAATATTTGAATTAAGTACAAACAATTTACACGATACAAACATTTATGATTTATCAGGAAAGAATATTTCGTACACAACTCGATTTTCCGACAGGGCAGAAATATCCGCGTATCATAACTTCACAATGCAATTTCATTGAAGCATGATGTTGCCAAACATTGAAACATTGTGACTTAAAATTTCAACGAACGAAAACGCTAGGTTCCAGTTTATCATCGCTCCCTCTGCTGTTTATACATCTTTGGAGTGGTAACTATATACATTTCATGATAGAAACACGTATTACTTCCCAGGCCACTGTACATTGGAACTCCTGAAAGTACGTCTTCCGAGTCTGACATGTAACATTCACGCGGAAATACCTATACTACATTCATTGCAGTTGATGTCATTATTGTTAGCTTTTGATCATATGTTATCATAGGTTGATATATGAATTTTAAGCGAATTGGGTATTGATCTATCTCTGGCCATATATTTATAATCACGTATCAATAAAAATGGTCAAGTGGCTGGGTGAATTTTTCCAATTGTGACGTCATACTGTTTACAAAGGATCTCGATATAACATAGCATCACGGCCTACATACACGAGGACACAGCCTGAACCCCAAATCGGCGTTAGGAAACCCTACTGAAAATTGAACGAAACCACGTGCTTCAGATTGTAAGCATTTCCGGTACCACATGTGGCGCCGTAAGGATGTCTGCAGTAAAATCCGTGAACGTATATAGACCGCCAACAATCTGATACATTTACACTGAACAAGTATCCAATCGATGAACAAGTCTTTATACGGCATGACATATATCTCATTGGGCGACTATTCATACGTTTAAAACAATATCTCTTCAAATTTAAATGATCTTTTATTAGATTATATAGACATTTTGTAATTTTAAAAGAAATCTGACATACATTGTACACTGTAAAACATTTGATTTAATGAATTATAGCCACATTATACCTTTTTGAGCTATGTATGGAGGCTTATATATGTCATTTCGTCGCCCGCGAAAAGTCACCAAGCGACAAAACGAAATCACGAAAAGACAAAACCCACCAAAGCGAAATCACGAAAAATTGCCAAAGCACCAAACTAAATAACAAATCAACGCCAAAACCGGAGTAAAAATAACGCCAAAATAAAATGGCGTCTCTTTTCCCCCCTTTGGCGGGTTTTCGTCTTATCATACTATGGTGGTTTTCGCATTGTCGCCCGCGAAAATACGCCAGGGGCAAAACGAAATAACGAACAGACGTCAACCCGCCTATGAGAGTGTCATACATAAAATATGTTAGACAATGTATGTCATTAAACTCTTGTGTAGCTTTAGAAAACCATTCAAAGTTCCACTGATACTTGTTCGATATCCGAGATTTTAAAGTGCAGAAAAACCATGTAAACTCGCCGAAATAAGTTGCATCCAGCTCAGATGCGTTTCTCCGTTTTGAAGGGATTGACATAACTGAACGAAACTAGGATATTACAGTTAGAATTTTAAAGTGTTGGTGGTTTGCAATCCTTTGCAAGATTTTTTAATTCACATCCAGTGAATATTTAGATGAACGGAACTTCAATTTGAAACTACAAACAGCAAAACGATATCTAATTCCAGAAAAAAAAAAACTGAACACATTGAGTTAGTTTTAGTTTTGGTTTTAAAGGATTTAGCGTCAAATCAACAACTAAGGTCATTGAAGGCCGTGCCTCTATCTGTGGAATGTGTTGGTTTATTTGCCTCTTTGTGATTGTGCGAATCTGATGCCGACGGTGCTACCTCATAGAAGCACCCAACACAGTGTGCTATCCAATCACATTATACCGACAACGGGTAAATCAGTCGTTAAGACTTCGGTATGGTCCATCCTCGGGACAAAGCTCAGTGCCTTCCTTACGTGGTTTCTGCAATACATCCTAACATTGCGGTTAAGCCAAGGGTGGACACATGAAGATCAAGAATACAATTACCAGTAAAGGTAGGATAAGAAATAGTTGGTTCATGTATACACATTTTTATCACCGAAATGCCATTATACATTTGTGATATGTCGTAACGGCTAGTGTGATTGTNTGTCTATTTCCCCCCCCCCCCCCCCCCCCCCCCCCCCTCTCCAGCCACTTCTCTACCACAGAAAGTGACAATACATTGTAATAGTGTAATAGTGTATACTGTCTTGTATTGTATTAATTTTTGGCTGATCTAGGAGTTACGCTCACTAGCCTTCTCTGAGTGAACGTAAGTGGACTTGACCCCAGGACAAACTTTGTATGGACGAGCGATAGTGTATATTTAACTATCTACTATAGATACGTCATCGTATTGAAATACTTTTGTTGAGGAATAATTTCCGTTATGATATTATACTCTCATATAGGAAATAAAAAAAATCGCATACTAAGCCCTAGTACGGAAAACTGAAACCCTCCTTCCTTACTTGTCTGCATTTAATATTTTCAATAGGGCAAAAACTGCTTAATGTTTATGTATGTATGTCAAGTAGCATTTTAAACGAAACTTATGGTTTTAGAAGTGTAATAATAATTCATTAGAAATACTGGTGGGAAATTCAGTAGAGTTGAGAGATAAACAACAGAATAGTTGATCTGTAATTATTTCCCCCTTCCCCCGATACCTCTGAACGTTAATTACGTCCAATGCATACGAATATATATGTATCTGCAGATTATAACTTATCCAATATGCAACGGTTCACGATACAAAATCCCAAAATGAAACGAATAAATGAATTGGATGTCAAAATAACGAATAGTTAGGCTTAGCAGTGTTGGAGATTACAACCCAAAATAGAATGTAGTGGTAATATTTAGTCAAGTAAAATCTACTTTCGTTTTAAGTATCGAAAACGTTTTAAAGCACTGTAAATAAAGTTAATCTTTCATAAATATGATACTATACTTAAATAGTTCTGTTTTTTTCGTAAGAATTTTGAAAAGTCTGGTTTTAGTGCTCATACGGTAAATTGAGCTGGGAATACCGTGTTACAGATTTAGCGGTATCGGGGGAATTCCGAGAAATATAAGGTATGACACAGGAAAGGTCACATCTAGCGTCAGTTCCTACAGCAAAGATTTACGCATAGGACTGGTCAGTAAACACAGGTGCAGGCTCACAGACAGTTGATGAGGTAAGTTATCGCATATTACAAACATTCTCCTCGATATATTTGTTAGTTAATTGGAACATCACTGGCGGTAATGTACGTGTACAGATATAATACTTTGTTGTGTGTTTATATTCTATAAAAAGAAGTGTCGTCACCATAATGTTGGGCCGTTATCAGTACAGGCGTCATCTATAGCTTGGCTAGCCTAATATATACTTTGTGCGAATAATATTTAACGTTACTTCATAGGGGAGTTTAACATATATATTACCCGACAGATTTTATTAAAGCTTCTTATTATTCTGTTGCTAATACTCGCTTATTGGAGTATCTTTTGATATAGGCCAATGTTATCTCATGCATGTGGGTTTTTCCAGTTTTTACAAGAATGTGTCTTTGGGCCCAGATTTTCATAATAATTCCAAAATTGAAACTCCTCTTTACAATCTGATGATATTGTACCCTTTACCTAATGGAACTCCTCTTTACAATCTGATGCTATTGTACCCTTTACCTAATGGAAATCCACTTTACAATCTGATGTTATTGTACCCTTTACCTAATGGAACTCCTCTTTACAATCTGATGATATTGTACCCTTTACCTAATGGAACTCCACTTTACAATCTGATGTTATTGTACCCTTTACCCATAGGTGGTGGGCACGTCTATCAAAAAAAAAATATATATATAAAACTAGAAAGGTGAGGAACTCAGCCCCTACCAGCGGCTGGCAAAATTGAGGTAATTTTGTTTGAAGTGTCACAGAAATTTTATCCGCTAAAATCCTTCCCACAGCGTAGTCTCGATCGAAAGTAGGGACATTAATCTTTAAATAACACCCATTATATATCTTCAAAACAGTGTAGTTATTTCGTAAGCAGTTTCGAAGCTCGCGAAAATCACCGATTTGTGTTACCTCGGACACGATCCGGAACATTTTTTCGAAACAAATTCTTCATTCGGTACACAGAATAGCGGACGACGTAACATTAATAAACCATTGTATACTCAAAGATAAGGTCAAAACAAACTTGCTTACTTGTTTTACGCACCACTAAATTTCTCCTCTCGTGTCCCTCAAGTATTTTCTCCGCAAGATTTCACATCAGCCCTCCTTCGTCCACCATCTTGGAGAATTTTATAATATGCAAGCTGATTGGTCGAGCTATTTTCGTCTATTTTTAACCGGCCGTTAGACCAATCAGCTTGCGTGTTACATATTATAAAATTCTCCAAGATGGTGGACGAAGGAGGGCTGAATGTGAAATCTTGCGGAGAAAATACTTGAGGGACACGAGAGGAGAAATTTAGTGGTGCGTAAAACAAGTAAGCAAGTTTGTTTTGACCTTATCTTTGAGTATACAATGGTTTATTAATGTTACGTCGTCCGCTATTCTGTGTACCGAATGAAGAATTTGTTTCGAAAAAATGTTCCGGATCGTGTCCGAGGTAACACAAATCGGTGATTTTCGCGAGCTTCGAAACTGCTTACGAAATAACTACACTGTTTTGAAGATATATAATGGGTGTTATTTAAAGATTAATGTCCCTACTTTCGATCGAGACTACGCTGTGGGAAGGATTTTAGCGGATACAATTTCTGTGACACTTCAAACAAAATTACCTCAATTTTGCCAGCCGCTGGTAGGGGCTGAGTTCCTCACCTTTCTAGTTTTATATATTCATTTTTTTTTTTTTTTTGATAGACGTGCCCACCACCTATGCTTTACCTAATGGAACTCCTCTTTACAATCTGATGATATTGTACCCTTTACCTAATGGAACTCCTCTTTACAATCTGATGCTATTGTACCCTTTAACTTAAAGCTGTTTTTGACATAGTTGGTTAATCTGACTTTTGTATAATTTCATGCATATAATGAAAATGCAAATTTAATGTACAAGCATTTTGATTGTACTAAAAGCTTTTAGATATTTCAAAATAACCCTACATCAAAATAAACCTACATCAAAATACCTACATCAAAATAACCCTATATCAAAATACCTACATCAAAATAACCCTACATCAAAATACCTACATCAATATAACCCTACATCAAAAGAAACAAACTTTAATAAGATATTTCTTTTAGCCTATCATATGGAAACACATATTATGAATTGCATTTCATTGATTAATATCTTATTGACTTAACCCATTTCCCCCTACAGTCACATTTGAACCTAATTACCAATCAATGACTGGGCAAGTCCAGTATAAAATTGTAGGGGTGTTTGAGTTAATATGTAGCTTCATATATAAGTAACTTAAATTAAAAGTATTTAGTGTCACTGATATTGTACAAATATTCAGTGTCAATGATATCTTACAAACTTGTTCTCACATATATGACAGACTTGATTATTTTTGTTGCATCCTGTCCATCATTCTATTAAAAAAAATGTTGTCTATATCATATCTACTATATTACATACAGTGTATCCTATGCAATTGCTGAGTATTGCATGTCAAAATAACGTCACTAACACCATCAGATTTACCTCAGTTTCCAACTCAGTTTTTCTTATGTTATTGAACTAAATTACATTAAATACAAAAAATGAACAAAATTTCAAAGAAACTCAATACAATGTGTTCTAGCTATAAGGTGTGGATCTTAATTCTATGTATGTCAGTTTTGAAAGTTGTGGATAGCCAAAGTTGAATGTTTAAAAATATGCAGAACAGTGCAAACATGTAATGTCTCCCTCTCATGTAGAGACTCTTCATATATTTTATGTTGACAACAGAAACTGAATCTCTAAAGAATCATAATCTCCTGACCATTGGCTGCAACGTCAGAAATTCCTGGCGTTTTGAAACTGTGTATATAAACACCAAAAAGTGATTTTTTTTCTATTTAGAAGGCTTATAAGTTCAATGGCAATTACAAAAGAGTTACAAGTCTTCATGTATAAATATAGTTCAATAAAATATAATCATCATGTTGATTCTGATAAAAGAACACTTGTGGTGAAAATCTCCATGTCAAATACCCATTCATGTAAATCTGATCCCTATTGTGTGTTGTTATGCCATCACGTGCGTGTCACGGAGTACAGAGAGTGTGTGTGTGAAACTTCACATGGATGTGTGCCCCATAAACAGACAGTGCTGTTTGTCTTTCAATGTCACACAACCCATACAAGTGTAACCCTTAGGGTCAAGGTCAAGGTCAATCCAGGGTCAAGGTCAGTCCTGGAGGATAAATGTCAAACCCCTGCTACAATTTATGTAATATTGTTTAACAAATTTTCATTTATGGACCGTACTTGTTTTATTACCTGGTAATTGCCCTGGCGAGTATTAGAATATCGGAATATTTGAAACATTTATATGGAGAGGTCATCATTTGTGTGTTTGTCATTTGTCATTAATGTGGTGGATTAAAAATAACCAATTGTTATAATACTCTATAGATTGTAAGTACCAATAAGGAAATTGTATTATCATGACTGGTTGGTATAATTTTTCTGCTCATACATTGAAGGTTGAGAGTCCAGTAGAGTATTGAGTTTTAAGTCCTTGATAACTCTGTTTTTATTGATGGAGACATGTCTGTTAGGGTGAAATATCTGTTGAACTTGAAAGTTATACAGCTTCCTGTTAGTTTGTTGATACAGGAAACAAAGATTATATATGACATTGCATGTTTCACATTTACATTTTTACCAGAATGAGTGTATTTTTCAACATGTGCAATAATTAACTACTATAATAGCTATCCTCTCTCCTGAGACAGATAAACATAACAACTAGAGTTTACCTCACAACGATAAGTTTTTTTATATAACTACTACAGTTTTCTTTTTTTTCACTGATCAGATGGTTTGTGTGGCCAATTTAACCAATTTAATTGCGCAAATTTTTACAACAGGTGTTGGACACACAAAAGATTGTATAATGTAGATGATGTTGTTTGTATATCCTTCAGCTGTGTTTTGTACAACAGGGGTGTACAGTATCATCATTGCTTTATAGTTATAAAGAACCTGATTTGAATCAACAGGTGCACCAGATATACAGGGTTAATATTATCTGTGGGTGTTGATTAGACTCTGTGGGTGTTGATTAGACGTGGTAGGCAGTGTGTGACAGTATTGTCATGGCTGGTAACACATCCTCACACAGTCCTACAGAAAACCACTGTAACAATGTTTCAGTCTGATTTTATCTGATAGTATCAGAAAACTATCTGTAATACTTCCTTGTTAGAACAGCCTTTTAAATGTAAAAATAAATGTTGCCTAGAGACTGAAGAAGTGAATTCCTTCCTGTCCTCACAGATATCTACAGAGATTTGGGTCACCAGATTGACAAAAACCCCTTGGCTCTGTATATGTAACACCCTATGATGAATCTCCTCATCCATAACTAAAGTTTGGAAACTAAATAATCTTCACAACTTGGGTGAGTCACATCTAACTTATTATCATATACTTTGCAGTCTTTAAGTACTATATACTTCATTGTTACCTGATGTTGTTGTGTTGGAACTATGGAGTTTGTTGTTACCATGATGTTGTTGTGTTAGTACTACAGACTTTGTTGTTGTAACCATGATGTTGTTTTATTAGTACTACAGACTTTATTGTTGTAACCATGATGTTCTGGTGTTAGTACTACAGACTTCGGTGTTGTAACCATGATGTTCTGGTGTTAGTACTACAGACTTAGGTGTTGTAACCATGATGTTGTTGTGTTAGTACTACAGACTTTGTTGTTGTAACCATGATGTTGTTTTGTTAGTACTGCAGAGTTTATTGTTGTAACCATGATGTTGTTGTGTTAGTACTACAGACTTTGGTGTTGTGGTATATGATGTTTTGTTAGTATACTACAAACTTTGTTGTTGTAACCATGTTGTTGTTGTGTTAGTACTATAGACTTTGTTGTTACCATGATGTTGTTGTGTTAGTACTACAGACTTAGGTGTTGTAACCATGATGTTGTTGTGTTAGTACTACAGACTTTGGTGTTGTTACCATGACATCGTTTGATATGTCACCATTCATATTTTTTTCATACCATGATGTTTAATGACATAAAGGAAAATGAATAATGAAAAAGAATAGAAATATAAATAATTGTAGAAATAAAATCAAAGCTGATTAAACTTCCTTCCTGTTCCAAGTGACTCAAAATAAATGTAAGTTGACTTAGACCAAAGGATTTTATGACATTTGATATATTTCCTGTTGTTTTGTATTATAGTTTGATTTCTTTTGTGTTATATAGTACATATATCGTTTAACCATTCCATAGTACAAAACGAAATGTAACTTTATCTGGGATTTAAATATGGTGTGTGAGCTACTCCTTTATTTTCATAAACTGTACACACATGAAACTGCTGGAAATATGTCCATAAATAGATTCAGTTTTATAACTATAAAAAGGTATTTACTTAGCATACACATTATGAACAGAACTATTAATAGGTAAGCGTCCTTTGAATAACAAATTACCAACTTCTCTTCTGTATTCAGATGATTTGGGGTCCCTGCGACTGAGGGCAGATGGGTAGTGTTTCTAACAAAAGGATTGATGTTCAAGTGTCTCTAACAAAGGATTGATTTTCAAGTGTCTCTAACAAAGGATTGATGTTCAAGTGTCTATGACAAAGGGTTGATAGGTAGTGTCTCTGACAAGGGACTGACAGGCTAGTGTCTCTGACAAAGGGTTAATAGGTAGTGTCTCTGACAAAGGGTTGGTAGGTAGTGTCTCTGACAAAGGGTTGATAGGTAGTGTCTCTAACAAAGGGCTGACAGGCTAGTGTCTCTAACAAGGGGCTGATAGTCTAGTGTCTCTAACAAGGGGCTGACAGGCTAGTGTCTCTAACAAGGGGCTGATAGGTAGTGTCTCTATCAAGGGGCTGATGGGCTAGTGTCTCTAACAAAGGGTTGATAGGCTAGTGTCTCTGACAAAGGGTTGATAGGTAGTGTCTCTGACAAAGGGCTGACAGGCTAGTGTCTCTGACAAAGGGTTGGTAGGTAGTGTCTCTGACAAAGGGTTGATAGGTAGTGTCTCTGACAAAGGGCTGACAGGCTAGTGTCTCTAACAAGGGACTGATGGGCTAGTATCTCTTACAAGGGGCTGATAGGCTCGTGTCTCTGACAAGGGGCTGATGGGCTAGTGTCTCTAACAAAGGGTTGATAGGCTAGGGTCTCTGACAAAGGGTTGATAGGTAGTGTCTCTGATAAAGGGTTGATAGGTAGTGTCTCTAACAAAGGGCTGACAGGCTAGTGTCTCTGACAAGGGGCTGATGATCTAGTGTGTCTTACAAGGGGCTGATGGGCTAGTGTCTCTAACAAGGGGTTGATAGGGAGTGTCTCTGACAAGGGGCTGATGTGCTAGTGTCGCTAACAAGGGGTTGATAGGTAGTGTCTCTGACAAGGGGCTGATGTGCTAGTGTGTCTTACAAGGGGCTGACAGGTAGTGACTCTGACAAAGGGCTGACAGGCTAGTGTCTCTGACAAGGGGCTGATGATCTAGTGTGTCTTACAAGGGGCTGATGGGCTAGTGTCTCTAACAAGGGGTTGATAGGTAGTGTCTCTGACAAAGGGCTGACAGGCTAGTGTCTCTGACAAAGGGTTGAAAGGTAGTGTCTCTGACAAAGGGCTGACAGGCTAGTGTCTCAGACAAGGGGCTGATGATCTAGTGTGTCTTACAAGGGGCTGATGTGCTAGTGTCTCTAACAAGGGGTTGATAGGTAGTGTCTCCGACAAAGGGTTGATAGGTAGTGTCTCTGACAAGGGACTGATGTGCTAGTGTGTCTTACAAGGGGCTGACAGGTAGTGACTCTGACAAGGGGCTGACAGGCTAGTGTCTCTGACAAGGGACTGATGAGCTAGTGTCTCTAACAAGGGGCTGAAGGGCTTGTGTCTCTGACAAGGGACTGATGGGCTAGTGTCTCTGACAAAGGGCAGACAGGCTAGTGTCTCTAACAAAGGACTGATGTGCTAGTGTCTCTAACAAGGGGTTGATAGGTAGTGTCTCTGACAAGGGGCTGATGTGCTAGTGTGTCTTACAAGGGGCTGATGGGCTAGTGTCTCTAACAAGGGGTTAATAGGTAGTGTCTCTGACAAAGGGTTGATAGGTAGTGTCTCTAACAAAGGGCTGACAGGCTAGTGTCTCTGACAAGGGGCTGATAGGCTAGTGTCTCTGACAAGGGGCTGATGTGCTAGTGTCTCTAACAAGGGTTGATAGGTAGTGTCTCTGACAAGGGGCTGATAGGTAGTGTCTCTGACAAAGGGTTGATAGGTAGTGTCTCTGACAAGGGGCTGATGGGCTAGTGTCTCTAACAAGGGGCTGATAGGCTAGTGTCTCTAACAAGGGGCTGATGGGCTAGTGTCTCTGACAAAGGGCTGATGGGATAGTGTCTCTAACAAGGGGCTGATGGTCTAGTATCTCTAACAACGGGCTGATAGGCTAGTGTCTTTAACAAGGGGCTGATAGGCTAGTGTCTCTGACAAGGGACTGATGAGCTAGTGTCTCTTTCAAGGGGCTGTTGGGCTAGTGTCTCTAACAAGGGACTGATGGGCTAGTGTCTCTAACAAGGGGCTGATGGGCTAGTGTCTCTGACAAGGGACTGATGAGCTAGTGTCTCTTACAAGGGACTGATGAGCTAGTGTCTCCTACAATTGCCCTATGGGCTAGTGTCTCTGACAAGGGACAGATGAGCTAGTGTGTCTTACAAGGGGCTGATGGGCTAGTGTCTCTAACAAGGGGCTGATTGGCTAGTGTCTCTTACAAGGGTTGATAGGTAGTGTCTCTGACATAGGGCTGATGGGCTAGTGTCTCTGACAAGGGACTGATGAGCTAGTGTCTCTAACAAGGGGCTGATGGATTAGTGTCTCTAACAAAGGGCTGTTGGGCTAGTGTCTCTAATAAAGGGCTGTTTGGCTAGTGTCTCTAACAAAGGGCTGTTGGGCTAGTGTCTCTGACAAAGGGCTGATGGGCTAGTATCTCTGTCACAGGGCTGACGGGCAAGTGTTTGTTGACAATTGTTGATGTTCAGGGGTCTGTGATTAAATTTGGATCAGCAAGGGTCTTTGAAAAAGGGGATGGGCTAGTGTCTCTGACAAAGAAAAAAGGTTAGTGACAGTGGTTAGATAATGAAGAAGGTTGAGTATGGTTTGACTGATATAGTTGATTTTATTGATGATGTTGTAGGAAACACCAAGTTGTCATGGATACACCAAGTCGTCAACGGTTACGCCCTTGGCTTGAAGCCAAGATTAACTCTAATACAATCCCTGGGCTTAAGTGGCTGAGCAGTTCCCAACAAATATTCAGGGTACCATGGAAACATGGTGGAAAACATGACTGGCATGAAGAGGACTCCTTGATTTTTAAGGTAAACTAATGTTCTTGGTACGAAACAGTGACGTTAAAATTGTTGAATTAGATAGTATCAGGAAAGTGGAAATGACGGTGTATGTTTTTGTAACTTTATTTGGAAAAATAAAAACATTTACTGTCATGAAACTGTATTAAAGAGATTTTAGCATAGGTTTATAATTAGTAAAATAACACTGCATCAAATTGAGCGAGGCTTATAGACATTGAATTGTAAGGGATTATCTGTTAAAATTTACATTTACCAGGAATGGGCCGTCCACACTGGACGTTATCGAGAGGGAGTTGATACTGCTGAGTGGCCCACCTGGAAAACACGTTTTAGGTGTGCCCTGAACAAACTACCTGACATTACGGAAGTTAAGGATATGAGTTCCCTGGATGGAGCAGAGCCTTACAGGGCCTACAAATTCATACCAAGGAGAGGTTTGTATAAATATTGCAGGGCCTACAAGTTCTTGCCCTTAAAGGGTAGTTATTAAACATGATACAGGGCCTACTAATTCATACCCAGGAAAGGTTTGTATACATATTGCAGGGCCTACAAGTTCTTGCCCTTAAAGGGTATTTATTATACATGATACAGGGCCTACTAATACATACCCAGGAAAGGTTTGTATACATATTGCAGGACCTACAAGTTCTTGTCCTTAAAGGGGAGTTACATTACATGATACAGGGCCTACAAATACATGTACATATCCAGGAAAGGTTTGTATAAATAATGCACAGCCTTTAAATTCTTGCCTAGAAAGGGTAGTTATTATACATGATACAGGGCCAACTAATACGTACCATGGAAAGGTTTGTTAACCCTTTCACCACTGTAGACCATAGTGGACTCATCCAGATGATTGTATGGTAGAGTCTACACAAGTTACCAAGGGGTGAAAGGGTTAATAAATGTATGGCCTTCAAATTCTTGTCCTTAAATGATAGTTACTATACATGATACAGGGCCTACACATTCATACCCATCAAGGCTTTTAACAAATTTTCAAAGTATATAGTACAAATACACACTTGGCATTATCAGTGATAATGTGTTATTCTTGGTTCTAGAAAATAAAACCTACATGTATACACAGTGTATTATAATAGATCACATGCCTATCAGAGGCACATGGATAGTATTGTTCTGTGATATGTATTACGAAACGATGTAACAATCATAAGTCAGATGTCAAGTAACATATTTCCTAAATAAGTTTGTACATTAGACAGTGTGCTGTACAACTTAAATTACTGGAACATCCAGGTCAAAGGTTAGATTTTTTCACTTAATGGGCTCCACTTAGCATGTGTATAATAACTGTATACACCACTATTAAACATGTGACCCTGATCATTGTTAGACATAAGAATCATCAATGAGTGGTGCTTCATAAAAATTTTGAGACTAAATGGAACTTTTGTAAAATGTAAACTTTAATTATTTTACAACAATTATGAAACAAATGATTTCAACTTACCAGTATATTAATCACTCTTGTTGGCCCGGATGTTAGCGTGCAGGGGACTTAATGTGGGAGGAAACTGGAGTACCCAGAGAAAACCCACGTGGTCGGGCAGGGGATTCAATACCTTTTCAAGTCTGATCAGGGAATCGAACCTCGGTCGCCTTGGTGAAACGCAAGTTTGATACTAGGTACCTCAATTGCCAGAAGAAAAAGTCAGAGGTCAAAGCTGTCAAAATTCAGAGGGCAAAGGTCTGACCAGTATAGGACATGTTCATAACCCTTTTATTGTTCATAGTAAAGTTGCAATAATAAATTCAATTTACTCAGAGCTCTGTAGAAGTGTTGTATAGATCCTATATGGTGTGCTGTATGTTTATTGTCTATTCCTACAATGTGTAAAAGGATTGGATTTTGAACACTTACTTGTTGTATATAATATATTTCCGTATTACGGAGTGCGTGTTGTGATCATCGACTCCATATTGTTTACCCGGGGTATTCCCGTTGGGGATTCCCTTCTGGTATTATATTTAGACGTTTCTGATTGGTTAATATTTTTGGGATATGTTACCTTACCTGTACAGCACTCTACGTTCAGGAATGGGTCAGTATCGAGTTCAAATACTACATTGCACGTGCATTTCAAGGCATACAATTAAATTTGGCTATATCAGTCTGGCAGAGGCTTACATGTAGCTGGCCGGCTCGTCATCTCCCTTCTTACGGGCAAGTATGTAGGAGTATATTTCGGCCTTAGACCTCAAAATTATCCGGGCTGGGTGGTACTTTCCAATTGTAGGCATGTTTTGGTCGAATTATCTTAGCGTTAATTTGGATGGTTATTTTCCCATTGTAGGCATGTTGTAATATATTGTCGGGGTGTGTTAAAACTTATTCCCCGGGGTTGGATACCGGGTGGACATTTTTGAGAGGACATGTTACACGGTATACTGTTTTTAGTATGGACCGGTCGAGTGGTTGACGAGCTGTAACATTGTGCATATCTATTCATCATGGTTCATCTAATTTACTTCACTGTTCCATTTTGTACATAATAAATTGTAGAACTTAATAAAACGTGTTGTCATTCATTGACCTGTAGCCAGCTGAAGTTAAGTCAAGACAGAACCACAGAGTTGTCGAATGAAAAATCACTATACGAGGACAAAACTTTTACACAATGTATACCTTCACTATAGCTGACTGAGTAAGCAAGTATTTTCCACTTGTTATTGTACAGGTTTTGTGGCCAATGACTGGGTAGATATTTGACCAAATATTACATCTATTACAAATGCATTATTACAGATATATAAACTAATTAGAGAAAATGTGAAAGTTTCTTACCAAAATTATTTAATTTGTTCTTACAGATTCCAGACAGAACAGAAGTCCTCCTGGACTTATAACAGCGGTATGTACTGTATGGCTATCATTTACTGGTTTTTACAGGGCTTTTTATGTACGCGTTGATTGTCACTTTGAGAGGAAGCCAGGTAGTCCAAATCACTTGTAGGTTAGGTATATACCATACCGTAGAAACAAATTTAGGAGGAGACGGCGGAGGGTTGTATACGGGAATCAGTCTTTCCATCCGTCTGTCTGTTTTTAGGCAAAATCTTGCCTGGATAGCTCCTACATTTTTCATCTGAATATTATGAAATTTCGATGCAGTTGTTACGCACTCTTAAGTAGTACATCTGTTGTTATTTTTGATCGCACAATTCTGACGGAGGTTTGGTTGGCTTCTTTTTCAAATTATTAGTTTAATCATGTCCAGATAATTGGCCCTATAGGTGCAGCCAAAGTGTGATACACTCCAAGGATATAATCACCCTTCTCTGAAGTTGTACACCTGCCCATAGCTTTGCTCAAATTATTTTGTTGAAGTTAAATATGTTTTTGGCTAAACTCTAATGTAGCCACCGAGTCTGAAGTTGTGCTCTAGTGCATATTATATTTATAGGAGTTATGTCCCTTTTACCAACTTATTAGTCCTACATTTTACAGTTTGCTAGGTGATGTTAATTGATTGATGATTCAGACTTTGTATTTATGCAGCACACCTCTCCAGAGTTGGAACAAACGTTCGAACTACCATTGCGAACTGATGGTAAGTAATTTATGGACTTCTTAAGATATCTCATCCTATTTTTGTCTCTGTGCAATTTACACTCTCCACAACAAAGTAAGAGGGATATTGTGCAATCAGATTGTCTGTCTGTAGACAACGGTATGTTGGTGTATTTGTCTCCTGTGTGGATCTAATGCCAACTTTAAAGTCAATTTAAGATACCCGAAGGTGACCAAATATTTTGTTTACGTTATTTTTGTGTGAACTTTATTTCGTAAACTATGCCTTTAGGTTTTATTCTTGAATGCTTGAATTTATGATTGAAAGGATGTTATTTCAAAATCAATGACTAATAATTCATGAAATTCCTTTATTCAGGAGATTTAAATTCGTGATTGAGTATCCTTGCAAACTAATATGAAAATTACTCTCTCACAAAAAGATATTGACTTATAGTACGTCCTACTGAATGATAAGTTACAGTATCAAGGGGGCAAAGGTCATGTCTTATACAAATCTTGATGAATCCATTTAAGTTGAAGAAACCCACAGTGTTACTGGTGCCATTTGAGTTGTGACTAACTTCTGATGTCACTGCTGCAGGTCTGGAAACATTAAAAGTTGGCATGATGTAGCCCCCTGCATGATCTTAATTAATGATGGTAATTGATGGGGCAGGCTCTGTAGAAATGTTTCTTTTTCTACCTCTCATTGGAGAAATAAAACTGATTTGCTGCCCTAATTGCGCCATCTTCTGCACTTTCTCCCTCATCTGCTTTACCTTTTTGGAAGTGTTGATCTAGGCTCCTCTGGTTAGCTTGTTTTCAGAATAAAACGATTGTTGTGTCATGCTGCTGTGTTTACACGTCAGTGAATCTGTACTTTAAAATGGTCCTTTAGTGATGATAACACCTGTGGATGTCATACAACCTTGATTATTGCAAAGTTGTAAAATCAAACAAACAGAAATTCTAATAAATAATTCTTTACTTTATTAGCTCACCGGGTCCGGATGCCATTCTGTGGCGTCCGTCGTCCGTTGTCCATGCATCATCAGTTTCTTTAAATGACTTCTCCTTCTTAACCAGTGATCAGAATTTAATTTGACTGGAAGCATCCCTAGGTGGTGGGGATTGAAAATTGTGGAAATGGTGGGGCTGACCCCCCAGGGGGCTGAGGGGCAGGGCCAAAAGGGGAAAATTTTGCTATATTGCTATAAACCACTTCTTCTGTAGAACTTTATGCACTGTGTTTCAATCATATTTGGTCAGAAGAATTCATGATATTAAAATTGATCCTGGGGTTTGGTCAAACTCCTAGGGACCTAGTTTCTGAGTCACAGCTTGGGAACAGTTGAGATCCTCACCCTATAACCATATATACAATTGAATTAAGTATGAATGCACATATGCTGCTGGGGGCCGCGGTGGCCAAGTGGTTAAGTCGTCTGACATTCTGCTACCACTAGCCCTTTGCCACTGGATTGCGGGAATGCGGCCTACGTTGGGCGGTCGCGAGGTACTGGCCGTATGTTGGTGTTTTTTTCTCCGGAAACTTCAGCTTTTCTTCACCACCAAAACCTGGCACGTCCTTAAATGACCATAGCTGTTAATAAGACGAAAAACACAAATAAACCTTAACTAAAGCACATATGCTTTCAGGATGGCTCCGAGGTCTGCCCCACCCTTGGAGACTTAACCCCTGGGTCATAACTTTGAAACAGTTAAGATACCCACCCCAAAGCTATATATACAATTGCTGGGCATAAAGAGATGAATGCAGTCATGATATTAGAATTGACTCCAGGTTCTACCCCACCCTTGGAGACTTAACCCCTGGGTCATAACTTTGAAACAGTTAAGATCCCCACCCCAGAACTATATATACAAATGTTGGGCATACAGAGACGAATGCAGTCATGATATTAGAATTGATCCTGGGGTCAGGCCACAACCCTAGGGACATATTTTCTTAGTCACAGCTTGGAAACCGTTGAGATCTCCACCCCATAACCATACATAAAATTGCTGGGCATGAAAAATCTAATACAGATATGCTACAAGGATTGACCTTGGGGTCTGGCCCATTCCCTGGGAACTTATTTGGAGAATATTTTGCCATGATTGCTTAGATATCCATGTAAGTGATACAGGCCCTCTAGGCCTCTTGTTTCAGCCAGCCAGCCTGCATTTTGATATCTAAACTAATAGTAACATTAACTAACACTTAATACTTAATGCTGGTATTGGCTTTTGTTCCATGTTTTGTTATAGATCAAGCATTGTCCTATTCTCTCCCATAGTTGGCTTCTAGTCCTGAAACTTGTTATTGTTTCTCTCCTTTTCCCTCTGATAGATAACTTTCCCCTTAATTCCCTCTAGATGTGATTGCTATTTACTGGCATGTGTTTCTCCTCTTTTCAGATGATAAACTATTGCCTGACATTGACCTTGACTTTTTCAATGAAGTTACCACTATGGAAGTAGAAGATTATCATGGCAATCTACACAATGGTGAGAGAAGCATGGCATGCAAATCTTTGCTTAAAGTATTTCTTTCTATCCACCTTTTAGACATTTCTTTCCAAGGGGGAGAGCCATGTGCCATCATTTCATTATTACTTAATGGCGTTACAATAGGTTATATTACATGAGTTTATATGTAAGTTAGATGTCATTGGTCTTTACTGAATTAAGCATTGAACTTTTTCTGTATGGCATTTATGATCTGTTTGAATGACAAGGCTTTGCAAGCGAACATTATGAATTGTTTTTAAAGGTGTCATTCAATTAGATCATAAATGCCATACAAAAACAGCTCAATGCTTATATTTATGTTTATTCGTTTTTTTGTTTTTTTTTAATTTACAAATTATATTTAAAATTCAAAAATTCCTGCCTTAATGACAGTCTCCACAAATTTGTTCAATATTTGAAACAGTGTATTGTTGAGTGCTGATTGGTTAAGCATTGTGTCTTGTGGTGCATGTCAATGTTATGGATGTTTTTAACAAACACATCTTTTACTGGTATGCATACATATCATTTAGCTTGGCAGTTTAATTCTGAGGCTTTGCAATACTGTCTAAATTTATGAGCTTTTATAGGCTTTAGCTCTGTAACCTTATATCAGTACCCGTTTAAACAACCTGGTAAACAACCTGGTAGACAGGTCAAGTCCTAGTTCAATCCTGAAAAATAAGTGTTAATTGAATCATTCAGGACAAATTAAGATATTTCAGTGTAGGATTAACTTTACAAAGTTTTTGGACACATTTTCTGTTTTATATTTGTTGCTGTAAATCTGTGTTGACTTCCTCAGGCCATCCTAGTCAGGTCCATCCCCATGTTGCTGTTGTTGTCCCGACAACCAAAATGGAGGATGCTCCGGTATCTCCTGTCATGGGAGAACTTGTCCCAGCCCCATCAGGTGCACATCTTGCTTCAAACCTTAGGGACCTAACACCCCTACAGTCAGAAGAATTAGGTAAGGCAACTTTCATACATACCCTTCCCTGAAAAAAGTTACCCCAGGGAATAAATCAGCTAGCTAATTTCCTTCGCTTGGAAAATTTCAGAGAGGGAAAGAAATGACTTCTTCACCTCCCTGGTATTTGTGCGCACCCCACCCAGCATATTTATCTCCATGGAATACTACAACCCTTACTAGTAGAACAAGTCACAGACAAAGGTTAACGAGTCTTGTTCAAGGTCACAAAACTCATTTTTCAGTCGGTAGTAATAAAGAAGCAGCCTACTTAGCACCATATTGTCCCATCCAACTAATTGTGTATAGTGACACAGATGTTTTTGTTCTAGAATATGAAATGGACATAAAGTTGATGTATCGCCACTTGGATGTGTATCAGTCCACTTGTTGTAACGCAAAAGGTTGTCGCTTATCCTACGGTCAGGAACCAGAGCTGGTGGACGGATTACATCAGGCAGTGAGTATCGTCACCTATTGATATCAATAATATAGTCTGTTTTATGCGGCTTCTAAAGAATTGTCCTGTATAATGGCTAAATCATTATATTTGTTACAAAAAATAATCCTCTATTAAAACAAAGCATTTGACCTTTGACTTGTCTGAAAGGCAAATGTTCAAAGACAAATATTGTAACCTTAGATTCTTTCTCAAGTACTGATATCAGAGACACAATACAAATGACCTTGGATCCTCAGATACACAAGGTTCATTAGGTCCTTTCTGAAGGACTTACAAGACATGGGACCTTGGGTCCTTTCTGAAGGACTAACAAGACATGGGACATTTGGGTCCTTTCTGAAAGATTAACAAGACATGGGACATTGGGTCCTTTCTGAAAGATTAACAAGACATGGGACATTGGGTCCTTTCTGAAGGACTTACAAGACATGGGACATTGGGTCCTTTCTGAAAGATTAACAAGACATGGGACATTGGGTCCTTTCTGAAAGATTAACAAGACATGGGACATTGGGTCCTCTCTGAAGGACTAACAAGACATGGGACCTTGGATCCTTTCTGAAGGACTTACAAGACATGGGACCTTGTGTCCTTTCTGAAGGACTAACAAGACATGGGACCTTGGGTCCTGTCTGAAGGACTTACAAGACATGGGACATTGGGTCCTCTCTGAAGGACTTACAAGACATGGGACCTTGGGTCTGTCTGAAGGACTAACAAGACATGGGACCTTGGGTCCTCTCTGAAGGACTTACAAGACATGGGACCTTGGGTCCTGTCTGAAGGACTAACAAAACATGGGACATTGGGTCCTCTCTGAAGGACTTACAAGACATGGAACCTTGGGTCCTTTCTGAAGGACTAACAAGACATGGGACCTTGGGTCCTGTCTGAAGGACTTACAAGACATGGGACTTTGGGTCCTCTCTGAAAGACTTAAAAGACATGTGACCTTGGGTCCTTTCTGAAGGACTAACAAGACATGGGACCTTGGGGCCTCTCTGAAAGACTTACAAGACATGGGACTTTGGGTCCTGTCTGACGGACTTACAAGACAGGGAACCTTGGGTCCTTTCTGAGGGACTAACAAGACATGGGACCTTGGGTCCTATCTGAAGGACTAACAAAACATGGGACCTTGGGTCCTGCCTGAAGGACTTACAATACATGGGACATTGGGTCCTGTATGAAGGACTTACAAGACATGTGACCTTGGGTCCTTTCTGAAGGACTAACAAGACATGTGACCTTGGGTCCTTTCTAAAGGACTAACTAGACATGTGACCTTGGGTCCTTTCTGAAGGACTAACAAGACATGGGACATTGGGTCCTGTATGAAGGACTTACAAGACATGTGACCTTGGGTCCTTTCTGAAGGACTTACAAGACATGTGACCTTGGGTCCTTTCTGAAGGACTTACAAGACATGGGACCTTGGGTCCTTTCTAAAGGACTTACTAGACATGGGACCTTGGGGCTTGTATGAAGGACTAAAACAAGGACCTTGGGTCCTGTATGAAGGACTTACAAGACTTGAACATTGGTTCTTGTCAGAAGGACTTACAAGACATGGGACAGTGGGTCCTTTCTGAAGGACTTAATAGACATGGGACCTTGGGTCCTGTATGAAGGACCAACAAGACTTGAACATTGGTTCTTGTCAGAAGGACTTACAAGACATGGGACATTGGGTCCTTTCTGAAGGACTAACTAGACATGGGACCTTGGGTCCTGTATGAAGGACTAACAAGGACCTTGGGTCCTGTCTGAAAGACTAACAAGACTTGAACACTGGTTCTTGTCAGAAGGACTAACTAATAATGGAACCTTGTGTTATAAACCTTTTCCAGCAAATGTCAATATCTATTAATTATGGATTTCTTGTTGAGGTGAATATGTGGTTATGTGGACCCGAAAAATAATGATTCTTTCTCACTTTCTCAGGTCCATAAAACCATGCACATATTCACCAAAACAAAAGTCCTTAATTGTTACATTACATATAAATTATGCTGTTTTTATTATTAAACAGGAACATTAAATAATAAAATCATCAAAAGAAAAGTACTGCATTTGGCATAGAGCATTGTGAGGTTACAATTGAAGTGTCACATCAGAAAGAGAATTCTAACCTGCTGTTTCTAAAAATACGCCCGAGGTCAATATATCTTTACTCGGGTCGATAAATCCAGGTATTGACCGAAGTTAAAGGCTACAATTGATTTATTATTATACAAAACAGTAATGTAAGCAATCTGAAAAAAAAGAAAAGAAAAAAACCGCTTCGGAAGTGGGACGGTGCATTGTTTGGAGACACGTCATAATTCTATTTTTAGAAACACCCAGTCCTTCAACAAAAATCATGCGCTCCAAGTCAATATTGGTTTTTATGGGTGGACACGTGATGCACTTCTGGCCAATCACTTGTCGGGAATAATATGAAAAAATAATAATACAAATTACCGACCTACATGTGATTATGATCCAACCAGTGAGAACGTAGGAATTAGTCATGTCATCATATATTACCAGGTACTTTTACCTAGAGGCTGATTTTACCTGTACATGATGATGTTACTTTACCTGTAGAGATATATATTTATTTTACCTGTACATAATGATGTTACTTTACCTGTATAGATATATATTAATTTTACCTGTACATGATGATGTTACTTTACCTGTAGAGATATATATTAATTGTACCTGTACATGATGACGTTACTTTACCTGTAGAGATATATATTAATTTTACCTGTACATGATGATGTTACTTTACCTGTAGAGATATATATTATTTTTACCATGAAGTGGGGCTGTGTTGGCCTAGTTGTTAAGGTGTCTGACTATGTATGATTACTAGCCCTAGCTGAACTGGGTCACAGGTTTGAGGCCTGCGTGGGGCAGTCACCAGCTACTGACCGTAGGGCAGTGTTTTTTTCTCCGGGTACTCCGGCTTTCCTCTACCACCAAAACCTGTCACATCCTTTAATGACCATAGCTGTTAATAGGACTTAAAAACATGGAGAAACAAATTTTTACATCTTAATGTTAGCTGTAAATACCTGTAAATGTTAATATTTATTTGTACCTGTTGGTGTAACATTTGTTGTTTACCTGTAGATGTTTGGGCCTGATGGAATAGCAAACATATGCTTCCCTCCGTGTGATGCGATACTGAAGAACCAGAAACAAGTGTCCTTGACCAATCAGCTGTTAAACGCCCTTGACCGAGGGGTCATTCTGGAGTGTGAGAATGGCAATGTATATGCCACCAGGAAGTGCAAGTAGGTAGCAACTGTTTTAAAGAAATACAAGACGTACATTTTCAGGGACAATTTGGAGAATTCTGTAAGGTTCTGTAATTATTTAGCTTTCTAAAATCGTCAAGGTACTTAGTAGGGCAAATAGCCATAGTGTGGTGTTTATTAGGGCAAATAGCCATAGTGTGGTGTTTATTAGGGCAAATAGCCATAGTGTGGTGTTTATTAGGGCAAATAGCCATAGTGGCATTTATTAGGGCAAATAGCCATACTAAGCGTGGTGTTTATTAGGGCAAATAGCCAAGTGTGGTGTTTATTAGGGCAAATAGCCATACTAAGTGTGGTGTTTATTAGGGAAAATAGCAATAATGTTGAAACTGGAGTGATAAGAAACAATAAATAGATGATATTTTATGGTTTTCTGAAGAATATCATAATTCTCCAACACTTTGCTGGTGCATTCCATTTATGTTAGGGAAAAGATAAACAGCATCTTTACCTACCTAGTGCAAGACAGCTAACACACGATATCATACTGAAAATGTCACTATTTTACCGTGTAGCTAGGGTTGTGCCGTGAACCTTGTCACCCAGTTGTTGTGCCATTGGTGTTGGCACAGGGCATTTGGTTTATCTTTAGGTGTACAGTATTTTTATGATAGACAATGTAGGAAAAATGATCAACCACTCCTGTGTGACACAGAACCTTCGGGATAAGATTTCTGTGTCTGCATAACACAGGAGCGATAGATTCTATTACACAACACAGGAGCAATAGATTCTATAACACAACACAGGAGCGATAGATTCTATAACACAACACAGGAGCTATAGATTCTATTACACAACAGCGGAGCGATAGATTCTATTACATAACACAGGAGCGATAGATTCTATTACACGACACAGGAGCTATAGATTCTATTACATGACACAGGAGCTATAGATTCTATTGCATGACACAGGAGCTATAGATTCTATTGCATGACACAGGAGCTATAGATTATATTACATAACACAGGAGCTAAAGATTCTATTACATAACACAGGAGCAATAGATTCTATAACACAACACAGGAGCGATAGATTCTATTACACAACACAGGAGCGCTAGATTCTATTACATGACACAGGAGCTAAAGATTCTATTACATGACACAGGAGCTATAGATTCTATTGCATGACACAGGAGCTATAGATTCTATTGCATGACACAGGAGCTATAGATTCTATTGCATGACACAGGAGCTATAGATTCTATAACATGACACAGGAGCTAGAGATTCTATAACATGACACAGGAGCTATAGATTCTATTGCATGACACAGGAGCTATAGATTCTATAACATAACACAGGAGCAATAGATTCTATTACATAACACAGGAGCTATATATTCTATTACACAACACAGGAGCGATAGATTCTATTACACAACACAGGAGCGCTAGATTCTATTACATGACACAGGAGCTATAGATTATGTTACACAACACAGGAGCTATAGATTCTGTTACATAACACAGGAGCTATAGATTCTATAACATAACACAGGAGCAATAGATTCTATAACATAACACAGGAGCAATAGATTCTATTACATGACACAGGAGCGATAGATTCTATTACATAACACAGGAGCGATAGATTCTATTACACAACACAGGAGCGCTAGATTCTATTACACAACACAGGAGCTATAGATTCTGTTACATAACACAGGAGCTATAGATTCTTTTATATAACACAGGAGCTATAGATTCTATTACATAACACTTGAGCTATAGATTCTATTACACAACACAGGAGCGCTAGATTCTATTACATGACACAGGAGCTAAAGATTCTATTACATAACACAGGAGCAATAGATTCTATAACATAACACAGGAGCAATAGATTCTATAACATGACACAGGAGCTAGAGATTCTATAACATGACACAGGAGCTATAGATTCTATAACATGACACAGGAGCTAGAGATTCTATTACATGACACAGGAGCTATAGATTATGTTACACAACACAGGAGCTATAGATTCTATTACATAACACAGGAGCTATATATTCTATTACATAACACAGGAGCTATAGATTCTTTTACATAACACAGGAGCTATAGATTCTATTACATAACACAGGAGCAATAGATTCTATTACATAACTAGATTCTATTACACAACACATGAGCTATAGATTCTATTACATAAAACAGGAGCGATAGATTCTATTACACAACACCGGAGCAATAGATTCTATTACATAACTAGATTCTATTACACAACACATGAGCTATAGATTCTATTACATAAAACAGGAGCGATAGATTCTATTACATGACCCAGGAGCAATAGATTCTATTACCCAACACCGGAGCAATAGATTCTATTACATGACCCAGGAGCTATAGATTCTATTACACAACACATGAGCTATAGATTCTATTACATAGCACAGGAGCTATAGATTCTATAACATGACACAGGAGCGATAGATTCTATAACATGACACAGGAGCGATAGATTCTATAACATGACACAGGAGCTATAGATTCTATTCCATAACACAGGAGCTATAGATTCGATTACACAACACAGGAGCTATAGGTTCTATTACATGACACAGGAGCAATAAATTCTATTACATGACACAGGAGCAATAGATCCTATTACATGACACAGGAGCAATAGATTCTATAACATAACACAGGAGCTATAGATTCTATTACGATTCTATTATATAACACAGGAGCTATAGATTCGATTACACAACACAGGAGCTATCGATTCTATTACACAACACAGGAGCAATAGATTCTATTGCATGACACAGGAGCTAAAGATCCTATTACATAACACAGGAGCTATAGGTTCTATTACATGACACAGGAGATATAGATTATATGACATAACACAGGAGCTATAGACTCTATTACACAACACAGGAGCAATAGATTCTATTATATAACACAGGACCAATAGATTATATTACATGACAAAGGAGCAATAGATTATATTACATGACACAGGACCAATAGATTCTATTACATGACCCAGGAGCTATAGATTCTATTACGATTCTATTATATAACACAGGACCAATAGATTATATTACATGACACAGGACCAATAGATTCTATTACATGACCCAGGAGCAATAGATTCTATTACCCAACACCGGAGCAATAGATTCTATTACACAACACCGGAGCAATAGATTCTATTACATGACCCAGGAGCAATAGATTCTATTACATGACCCAGGAGCAATAGATTCTATTACCCAACACCGGAGCAATAGATTCTATTACATAACTAGATTCTATTACACAACACATGAGCTATAGATTCTATTACATAACCCAGGAGCTATAGATTATATTACATAACACAGGAGCTAAAGATTCTATTATATAACACAGGACCAATAGATTATATTACATGACAAAGGAGCAATAGATTATATTACATGACACAGGAGCTAAAGATACTATTACATAACACAGGAGCTACAGATTCTATTACACACCACAGGAGCTATAGATTCTATTCCATAACACAGGAGCTATAGATTCGATTACACAACACAGGAGCTATATATTCTATTACATAACACAGGATCAATAGATTATATTACATGACACAGGACCAATAGATTCTATTACATGACCCAGGAGCTATAGATTCTATTACGATTCTATTATATAACACAGGACCAATAGATTATATTACATGACACCTATTACATGACACAGGAGCTATCGATTCTATTACATAACACAGGATCAATAGATTATATTACATGACACAGGACCAATAGATTCTATTACATGACCCAGGAGCTATAGATTCTATTACGATTCTATTATATAACACAGGACCAATAGATTATATTACATGACACAGGACCAATAGATTCTATTACATGACCCAGGAGCTATAGCTTCTATTACATAACACAGGAGTGATAGATTCTAATACACAACACAGGAGCTAAAGATTCTATTACATAACACAGGAGCTACAGATTCTATTACACAACACAGGAGCAATAGATTCTATTATATAACACAGGAGCAATAGATTATATTACATGACACAGGAGCAATAGATTCTATTACATGACACAGGAGCAATAGATTCTATTACACAACACCGGAGCAATAGATTCTAATACATAACACAGGAGCGATAGATTCTATTACATAACACAGGAGCAATAGATTCTATTACATAACACAGGAGCTAAAGATTCTATTATATAACACAGGAGCAATAGATTATATTACATGACACAGGAGCAATAGATTCTATTACACAACACCGGAGCAATAGATTCTATTACATGACACAGGAGCTAAAGATTCTATTACATAACACAGGCGCAATAGATTATATTACATGACCCAGGAGCAATAGATTATATTACACAACACCGGAGCAATAGATTCTATTACACAACACCGGAACAATAGATTCTATTACATGACACAGGAGCGATAGATTCTATAACCCAACCCAGGAGCTATAGATTCTATTACACAACACCGGAGCAATAGATTGTATTACATGACACAGGAGCTATAGATTCTACTACATGACACAGGAGCAATAGCTTCTATTACACAACACCGGAGAAATAGATTCTATTACACAACACTAGATTATATTACATGACACAGGAGCAGTAGATTATATTACATGACACAGGAGAAATAGATTCTATTACACAACACAGGAGTGATAGATTCTATAACACAACGCAGGAGCTAAAGATTCTATTATATAACACAGGAGCTCTAGATTCTATTACACAACACAGGAGCTAAAGATTCTATTATATAACTCAGGAGCAATAGATTATATTACACAACACCGGAGCAATAGATTCTAATACATAACACAGGAGCGATAGATTCTATTGCATGACACAGGAGCTATAGATTCTACTACATGACACAGGAGCAATAGTTTCTATTACATAACACAGGAGCGATAGATTCTATAACCCAACCCAGGAGCTATAGATTCTATTACACAACACCGGAGCAATAGATTCTATTACCTGACACAGGAGCTAAAGATTCTATTATATAACACAGGAGCAATAGATTATATTACACAACACCGGAGCAATAGATTCTAATACATAACACAGGAGCAATAGATTATATTACATGACACAGGAGCAATAGATTCTATTACATAACACAGGAGTGATAGATTCTATAACACAACACAGGAGCTAAAGATTCTATAACATAACACAGGAGCTATAGATTCTATTACACAACACAGGAGCAATAGATTCTATAACACAACACAGGAGCTATAGATTCTATTACACATCACAGGAGCGATAGATTCTATTACATGACACAGGAGCTATAGATTCTATTACACAACACAGGAGCGATAGATTCTATGACACAACACAGGAGCTATAGATTCTATTACACAACACAGGAGCGCTACATTCTACAACACAACACAGGAGCTATAGATTCTATTACACAACCCAGGAGCTAAAGATTCTATTACACAACACAGGAGCTATAGATTCTATTACACAACACAGGAGCGATAGATTCTAATACATAACCCAGGAGCAATAGATTCTATAACATAACACAGGAGCTATAGATTCTATTACACAACACAGGAGCGATAGATTCTATTACACAACACAGGAGCGATAGATTCTATGACACAACACAGGAGCTATAGATTCTATTACACATCACAGGAGCGATAGATTCTATTACATGACACAGGAGCTATAGATTCTATTACACAACACACGAGCTATAGATTCTATTACACAACACAGGAGCGATAGATTCTATTACACAACACAGGAGCGATAGATTCTAATACATAACACAGGAGCAATAGATTCTATAACATAACACAGGAGCAATAGATTCTATAACATGACACAGGAGCGATAGATTCTATTACATAACACAGGAGCTATAGATTCTATTAGTCTTTCACCTGTGTGGCAGAATACCCGCAAAGTGTGAAAATATCAGCATATTCTGCCATACCAACATCTAAACAATTGGGGATTTAATAGCGTTATATTGTTGACAAAAAGACTACATGCAATTTTGAAGCAGCAACTCAATGCAACCCTACCATTTTCTGTTAATATCTGATAGGATTTGCTTACAGGATGTATATACCTAAACTACCATATATCCTACCATCTCAGCATCTGTATCTGACCAGGAAGTCTGTGGCTTTAAATGCAGTGAATAGAAAGTACCTTTGTGATCGGTTAATACCAACAGTGATATCTTCACACTATGACAAATATCACTTTTGATATCTGTCACAAAGTGAAAAATACTAATTACTGATGATCATGCCCAAGGACGTGGTGGACATATATCTGTATTGTTAATGAGCATGCGGTCCTGATATATATGACATCACTGTTTCGCCTAGCCTGTGTGATATATGTGTCGTTGTAATGATATGTTTATTTTTCTGACCTTGACCTATATTTTCCAATGTTTGGCATGATATGACAGTGTTTGACCCTTGTCTTTGGTCAGGTGATGCTGGTCATCCAATCAAAGTTTCAATTTTATCAGGTTGATAAAATTCAATATTTCATTAACAAAATGTAATAAGCGTTCTTCCCCTTTTTCAGGTGTGTTGTGTTTGTGTCATCACCATCTTTAGATGATAGAAAGCCTGTCCGACTCCAGCGGGATACAAAAACTCTCATCTTTGATTACAAAAACTACTTTGAACCAATGGTACACCGATATTACCATGGTTTCTCCAACAAACCATCTCCAGAAATCTTATTTGGATTTGGCCAAAACTGGCGAGCAAATGATCAGCCCCTGAGTAACCTTTTGATTGCTGCTGTAGTGGGCTGTGCTAAAGCCAGACATGTGCTCTCACAGGTAAGTCTGGGTCCATTTTATCTACTGTATTTGCCATAATTAGCACCCCTCTGCCTTAATTAGCCCCTCTCCCACTTTTTCAGGAGGAATTAAAATGATATACCCCATCCCCATCCAAGACCTGACGAGGGCCAGACAATGATTTACAGTACCTAGCTGGACTCCAGATGGACGATACATCCAAACCTCCAATTACACTTGAATGTTGATGTCCTTCTGTGATACTGTCACAAGAGTTGAAGTTGTACAACTTGTTCTGTTATAATTCCCATTTTATCATCCTTATAAATGTCCCCATTTAAGCAAATTTTTTATGCATCCTGGGCACTAATTATGGAAAATACGGTATTACATTCCAAATAACCTTGACAAAGACCTCAGGCTTGCATTAATCTTCACAGGTCTGCCAAGTTTGATCCTTGTCAAAGTAATCTAGAACTGGTCATTTAGGATAAAGGAGATGGTCCTTGGTGGTCAGTTTTTTGATAACAAAGAAATAGCAGAAATAGAAACTAAAACAAAAACCTATCATGATGACTTTTAATTCAATATTTAATTCACAAATAAAAATTTGGAAGAAGATTTGATTTATTTTTCCCATTGCCATAGATGGTCTGTTAATTAACCATAGAAATTAAAAGATCGGAAAAGGTGGCTGAATTTAGCATTGATAAAGTCCTAGGATTATCACCTTTGAAATGTTCCTTTAAAGGTTTAGGTTGGCTGCTCGATCCTTTACAATCTTTAAGTAATATAGCAAGATTTCTTTATTTTGTTCCTGTAGATTTCTGAATATATTTTAGCAAGAAAGAATTTAAAATTCAAAAGGAACACTTATCTTCGGAAAGTTATAGTTGCTGTATCTAATTAAAATCTATATAGAAAATTCTTTTTAATGAAATACAAAAGTCAGACTGCATGTTGAGAGAAGGTGAAGAGATTACATGTACCTATAGCTATATAGTACTAAAATGTTTCTGTCACTCTTCAAGTATTATCAATCGAGAAGGACATGTAAAAGTTACCCAACTATTCCAGCTATTGCCATATGACCAAAATATAAGACTCTCAATCTATTTCATTTCTCTATGAATGTTTTCCTTTTCCTTTTCCAGATCGGCAATTATTCATTGCCAATGGAGGTCTCCAAATCTGACGACTTGGACAAATTTTTAAAATGTGCCAAAATACAGGAAGAGCAGAATTTCGCTCAAAAAATGAATGGATAAAATGAAATCTTTGTAAAAATAACAGTCAATTTGTGCTATTTGACCATAAATCCATAAATATTTTTGAGTTGTGTGAAGGTCGTTTGAAGGTCATTACTTCAAAGTTATATGATCATTGTTACTTCCAACAACGTGTGATCATTGATTCTTTGAAAATGTTTGATCATTTGTACTTTAAAGTTGTGTGATCATCGTTAGTTTGAAGTTGTGTAAAGGTCGTTAATTTAAAGTTCTTTGAAGGTCGTTACTTTAAAGTTGTTTGATCTTCATTAGTGTAAAGCTGTGTGAAGATTTTTAGGTTTAACAATAACAGTAACGACCTTTAGAAACTGTCAATGTTATCATTCAAGATTTTTTCTGTGACATCACTTATTGGTAACAATAAACTTTAGCACTATAGTGATGAAGTTGTCAAGCTTAAATTTTAACATTACACATTTGATGCATATATATATGTTTTGTTTTTAAGATGTATTTACAGTCTGGTTTGTTCAAGTCCCATGTTCTCAGGATTGTGCTATGTTTTCCAGTCTTGAAATTTTTCAGTTTAATGACTAGATACAAAATGAAATTGTAATGTTTTAAATAAATTGGTGCACAAATGCTGTAACTCACTTTTTGGGGTGAGGGGTATACTTTTTATTTTCCAGACTATACCTATTGGTTTTATCAATGAATATTTGAAGTCCCGATTGTGTGGATACTTAATTTCAATATTGATTGTAATTATCTTTGAAATGAAGTTTCGTAGAAAATGTAAATAAGCGAATAATTTCCGTGTATTAAATTAAAAACTGAACACTCTCAAAAAAAACGACTAACAGTAAGCTTTTCCAGGATTCTGTTTTTTTTTAGGAAGGTTAGAAACATTTTGTAACTAACAAGCTCATCCTGGAATTATGGTGATCTAGTGTATAAGCTTTTTTTCTGATGGAAATTTGTAAAATATGGTGGAAATGATTTTTCTTTTTTTGTATCATGGAAAATGTAATAACAAATAATTGGAGAAAGGAAAAACAGTTTCTGTACTAGCAAGGCTCCATTGTATAAAGAAATCAAGGTATCCTCACTGGTGAGGCTCCACTGCATACAGAAATCAAGGTATCCTCACTGGTGAGGTTCCACTGCATACAGAAAACAAAGTGTCCACACTAGCGAGCGTTCAGTGTATGTAGATATTAACTCTAACAAGTACTAGTGCTGTCACCAATTCTCCATTCACAGAGAACTAGTCCAAAGTGTAATTTGATATGAAGTATCCTTGGACCAAAGGGGTTCTATTAATAATGATCATGTGAGGAATTCCTAAGCCACAAAAAGTTAAATTTTGTATAAATACAGGATGAGGTCCCCCTAAGAGTAGACTTACATGCAGGGATATCTAATAGTGGAAGCTGAGACTGAAACATTTTTACACCTTCTCAAGTTCGACTGCCAATTTTGACCTACCCCGGACCCTATGTTCTTATTTTTTCAAGCCAATTAGAAATACAAAATGGCCACCCTGATCTCTGATTAGCCGAGGCATTTTCGACATGTTTCCAAATTCTATCAGGCTGATTTAGACAATTGTTTTCACATGTCATCCTCTGTAGTTCCTGAACAAGTTTTCTTATCTCTAATACATGTGTACAGTATACATTAGAATGCATGTCAACCTTGCCTCTCATTGAACTTACCAGTATACATAAGTATAACATAATCATTATAATAGGATTATGATCATATCCTTTCCATTGAGATGCAAAAAACGTTACTGTGTAAAGCAATTTTGATATAAGGCTGTTCATTTAGCATTTAGACTGATCTATGTAGATATGAACCTCATTTTTGAAGTATGTTTACCAAGGGGTGGGCTTATTACTGAATATGAGCTTAACACTGTTAGAAGTTAACAAGTTGTGGGCTTATTACTGAACAAGACCTTAACACTGGTACAAGTAAACAAGGGGTGGGCTTATTACTGAACATGAGCTTATTACAAGTCAAATAGGGTACAGTAAATGTTTCTATATACAGAAAATAATATATTTGAATGTATTTTCAAATGGCCTCGAAAACATGAATGTTTGTAAAAGGTTTGACTACAAAGTGCTTAGTGAGTGTATCAGGAACTGTAGATTATTTTGTATTTTAGATTTTATGAATCATAATGGGAAGGACGTTTGTCTCTTACAAATACCATGATCATCCAAACATTGTTATGTTTCCATGTACAAATCAGTTATGAAATGTACCCTAACAATTGCAAATCACTTTTGCAAGAGATTTTTTTTGTCATGAGGAAACACATTCCTACATTTAATCTTCCAAAAATATTATTCAAGGGATAATTAAAATGAAATGCTTACTTTCAATTGAGCATTCAAGTAAGTATTCATGGATTAAACCTGTGCAGTTTTGTCCAGTAACATAAAATGTATATAAAAACAAGGCGTATCATGTAAATATAGATGAAAAACCTACTGCAGAAGCATTTTGATTTCTTGTAAATAACGACCCCTGTAAATAAGTCTTTAGAGAAAGAGAGCATAATTATAAAAAAAAAATGGAGTCTGCCTCTTTTACCTCTTGGATCTGTCTCCTGTACCATTCAATTAGCATCCATGTGTACATAATGTCTGTATGTAAATGAAGATGTTGAAAATAAACAAAATGTATTGCTTGCAATTTTTTTTCTTGTTGATAATGTCAAGTGTAGTGAGATTGGTTAAGTCCATCTGGCTGATCCTCCCTCCCAATACCCTGTTTTTTTGTGGGTTTTTTTAAAGGCCGATGGGCTTTTATCATTCTAGATTACATTTGTACTGTATTTCACCTGTGATAGAACAGAACCCTATTTAACTGATTTTACAATGACAATCACTTCCGAAACAAATATTTTTTTGCATTGGGCTCATTGAGAAGTAAGTCTAAGAGTTCATTTGAATACCTTTTTATGGCCTTCACTACCTGAGATTATCACAAGTAAAATATGGTAAATTGAATTGAGTTTATCTATGATTGTACCATGTTCATGATGTAACAACAGTTTTCATTGGTTAATAATCATGTATCATAGAGCAATAGATGTGCACATCCATGTTCTATCTGCCATGTACATGCAGTGCTCTTCCAAAATCCTCCCCCGTTTTTAATATGAAAGCTGCAATACTGGTTTGGGATTAGTTTGCTTTGAGGAATGCGGATACACACATGGATGTGCATTTCTAGTTGTTTCAATAAGATCACTAGCTGTAGTGTCCAGAACAGATTAAATCAGGTGCCTGTGGCTTGATGGTCAAAGAAAAGGGACATAGTTTGCTTAAGTTAAAGACCAGCCTACTGTAAATAATATTATATCTGGTTTCAGCCGTATAGAGGCACCGAGGTAGACACAAAAGCAGTTTTCATTACATTTTGATATGGTAGAACAGATACCATCACCATGTATTTATACATTACAGTAAACAATCAAATTTAAATGTGTTTATGATTATGTTACATGTGACATTTGTGTACATATATGGTAGATTAAAATGTGTTTACCTGTGAATATTGTATATGACACTTCTATATGGTAAATTATAAGGTATTATCCTATAGTTATAGATTTAACATTTGTACATGTCCAGTAAATTGAATTGTGTTTACCTCTGGTTATTGAACCAGAAAGTTTTGGTGTGGGGGGAGGGGTAACATTTATTTGTATATGCATGTCACATAATAACATTTTGAATGTGATGTCATGACATACAGTGCAGTAAAGATTATCAAGAATCAAAAGAGTTTTGTATCCAGAATAAATGACAGAAAACCAGGGTAAAAACAAGGTTACCGCGAGCGGTATATAATACGCCCGTCACACATTGAATGAGCAGTTGTTTGTATGATTGAAATATATGAAGTATTTGTGAGTAATTGATATTAAAAGAGAAATCATTCAACATAACTGGTAGATCAATGAGTGCAATACAACATCATGGAACGCATGCATCGCATTAATGAAACCAAGGGTAATAACTCCAGTAATTACGGTCGGATAATGGCGGTTATCAAACTTGTCCGTGGTTTCATGGTAATTAACCTTGTTGTGAAGTTTGAAGTTAATCCGTTAATAATTACTCGAGATATCGAGCGGACACTGTTTCGGCAAGTCCATAAAGGGGCATAACTCCACAAATTATGGTCGGATAATGGCGGTTATCGAACTTGTCCGAGGTTTCATGGTAATTAACCTTGTTGTGAAGTTTGAAGTTAATCCGTTAATAATTACTCGAGATATCGAGCGGACACTGTTTCGGCAAGTCCATAAAGGGGCATAACTCCACAAATTATGGTCGGATAATGGCGGTTATCGAACTTGTCCGAGGTTTCATGGTAATTAACCTTGTTGTGAAGTTTGAAGTTAATCCGTTAATAATTACTCGAGATATCGAGCGGACACTGTTTCGGCAAGTCCATAAAGGGGCATAACTCCACAAATTATGGTCGGATAATGGCGGTTATCGAACTTGTCCGAGGTTTCATGGTAATTAACCTTGTTGTGAAGTTTGAAGTTAATCCGTTAATAATTACTCGAGATATCGAGCGGACACTGTTTCGGCAAGTAAAGGGGCATAACTCCAGAAATTATGGTCGGATAATGTCGGTTATCGAACTTGTCTGAGGTTTCATAGTAATTAACCTTGTTGTGAAGTTTGAAGTTAATCCGTTAATAATTACTCGAGATATCGAGCGGACATCGTTTGCCTGCCCGCCCGCTGCCCGCTCACGTGATAACATAATACGTCCCCGTCTTCGACAGGCGTATAAAAACTGTTTCTTTTTTGTTATTTATACCACAGTAATCTTATTAGTCAGTGTTCTGTTCTGTTTTAATCTTATAGGTCTATCTTCTGTACTGCTATAATCTTATTGGTCGGTCCTCTTTACTGCTTCACTCCTATTGGTCAGTCTAAGATTCTTTACCTTTCAGTTCTTCAGAATATTTGACCCCTGTGACCATGAAAGAAGGTCAAGGTAATTTTCACTCGCACACTTTGTCAGGCTTCATCCCAAAAAGTTCCCAGCCAAATATTACGATTCTATACCTTTCAGTTCTTCATCAGAAGTCCTTTAAAGTGTTTAACACATTTGACCCCTGTGACCTTGAAAGTAGATCCAGGTTATTTTCATTGGCAAAGTTTGTCAGGCTCCATCCCAGAAAGCTACCAGCCAAATATCCTAAGTCTATGCTTTTAGTTTATTCAAAAGAAGTCATTTAAAGTATTTGACCCCAGTGACCTTGAAAGAAGGTCAAGGTCATTTGTGTTCTCAAACTTTGTCAGGCTCTTTCAAATGAATCGTTCAGCCAAATATCATGACTCTAGGCCTCTTAGATAATTCAGAAGAAGTTGTTTAAAATGTTTGACATATTTGACCCCAGTAACTTTGAAAATAGGTCAAGGTCATTTTCATTCTCAAAGTTTGTCGAGCTTCATACCAAGAAGCTACCTGTCATATATGAAGATTCCATACCTTTCAGTTTTTAAGAAGAAGTTGTTTGAAGTGTTCGACATCTTTGACCCCTGTGACCATGACAGTAGGTTGAGACCATTTTCATTCTCAAAAATTGTTGGGCTCCATTCCAAGAAGCTACCAGCCAAATACCCAAATACGAAATTTCTATACCTTTTAATTCTTAATTAGTCGTTTGAAGTGTATGACATATTTGACCCCTGTGACCTTGAAAGTAGGTCAAGGTCATTTTCATTCGCAAACATTGTAGGGTTCTTTCTAGGAAGCTACCAGCCAAATATTATGATTCTATATCTTACAGTTCTTCAGAGGAAGTTGTTTGACAAATTTGACCTCTGTGATCTTGATAATAGGTCAAGATCATTTTCATTCTCAAACTTTGTCGGGCTCTATCCCAGGAAGTCACCAGCCAAATAGTATGGTTCTATACCTTTCAGTTCTTCATAAGAAGTCATTTGAAGTGTTTGACACATTTGATCCCTATGACCTTGAAAGTAGGTCAAGGTTATTTTCGTTTTCAAACTTTGTTTGGCTCAAACTAAAAATGCTTTCAGCCAAATATCATGACTAAAGGCCTGTACATTCTGCAGAAGAAGCTGTTTAAAGGAAAAGATGACGGACAATGATGGAAGGACGACAGACGTTCTGCCATGAAATAAGGTCACTTGCTCTTAAGGCATGTGAGCTAATAACCCCCCTGGTTAGTGCTGGACATTTCAAAATCTTACCCCGAGGTTTGAGAATCGGTGTCTCGCCCCTAAAGAGGGGAATGATTGTTGTTCTCCTATCCCTAAAGTTTCTATAAAAAAGAAAGTTTTTTCTGTGACAATTGCCCATCTTTTATATGATATTAACGGTATCAGATTGAAAAAAGTATCAATTGTTTTTGTTGTGATGTCAAAAAATGTGTGACAAGTCTGTGAACGACAGAGAAAACAATCACTGAAGTGAATACACTGTATAAATGAACAAACAAATGAAATGATTTAAGATATGTTTATCAACCATAAACAGCACCACCAAGTCAATAGCATGTATACATATATCCTATATATCACATTTACACATGGCATTCACATTTCCCACACTGGCATTTTCACATTAGATAATGGCATTCATGCATGTATGAATGATGATAAATGAATAAGCATACAATAGTATAGTATATAGAGCAATACTATCACAACACAATGTCTAGTCTGTCCATTTGAAATTTCATTCCAAAAAAGGTCAGGCATTCAGAATTGCGTTAGAATGTTTATATTTTAATGCCTTGCTGTGACCTCAATCTGTTGAGAGTGGATATTGATAAATCTATATAAGCATGTGTTTCCTCTGGCCCTGACACCAGACTTAGACATTTTGACTGATAGATGTCTGGTGTCAGGGCCAGAGGAAACTCGAGCTACATCCATATATGGTGTTTGATTTAAAAGGATTGTCTGGAAAAGCATTAGAATGTCTTGACCTTTGACCCCTTGCTGTCATATATCAATTTAACTGAGCTGCTTACTTAATCTACATTGCGATCTTCACATTTAATTCAGAGACACAAAAGTAGTGTATGATACAGAATCACACAGCGATACATACACATGAAGTTTATCTTACTCGTATAAAAGCGATACATAGCCATGAAGTTTATCTTACCCTTTTATATAGGTAGTAGTGTATGACAAAGAATCACACAGCGATACATGCACATGAAGTTTATCTTACTCGTATAAAAGCGATACATACAAATGAAGTTTATCTTACCCGCTTATATAGGTAGTAGTGTATGACACAGATTCACACAGCGATACATACATGCTGTGACCTCAATCTGTTGAGAGTGGATATTGATAAATCTATATAAGCATGTGTTTCCTCTGGCCCTGACACCAGACATCTATCAGTCAAAATGTCTAAGTCTGGTGTCAGGGCCAGAGGAAACTCGAGCTACATCCATATATGGTGTTTGATTTAAAAGGATTGTCTGGAAAAGCATTAGAATGTCTTGACCTTTGCCCCCTTGCTGTCATATATCAATTTAACTGAGCTGCTTACTTAATCTACATTGCGATCTTCACATTTAATTCAGAGACACAAAAGTAGTGTATGATACAGAATCACACAGCGATACATGCACATGAAGTTTATCTTACTCGTATAACAGCGATACATAGACATGAAGTTTATCTTACCCGTCTATATAGGTAGTAGTGTATGACAAAGAATCACACAGCGATACATGCACATGAAGTTTATCTTACTCGTACAACAGCGATACATACACATGAAATTTATCTTACCCGTTTATAAAGGTAGTAGTGTATGACACAAAATCACACAGCGATACATACATGCTGTGACCTCAATCTGTTGAGAGTGGATATTGATAAATCTATATAAGCATGTGTTTCCTCTGGCCCTGACACCAGACATCTATCAGTCAAAATGTCTAAGTCTGGTGTCAGGGCCAGAGGAAACTCGAGCTACATCCATATATGGTGTTTGATTTAAAAGGATTGTCTGGAAAAGCATTAGAATGTCTTGACCTTTGCCCCCTTGCTGTCATATATCAATTTAACTGAGCTGCTTACTTAATCTACATTGCGATCTTCACATTTAATTCAGAGACACAAAAGTAGTGTATGATACAGAATCACACAGCGATATATACACATGAAGTTTATCTACCCGTTTATATAGGTAGAAGTGTATGACACAGAATCATACAGCGATACATACACATGAGGTTTATTTTAATCGTTTATATAGGTAGTAGTATATGACACAGAATCACACAGCGATATATACACATGAAGTTTATCTACCCGTTTATATAGGTAGGATTTTATGACACAGAATCACACAGCAATACATACACATGAAGTTTATCTTACCCGTTTATATAGGTAGCAATCAGAAGGTGTATACCAGACACAAACAGGACAGAAATACTTCTAGCAAACTTAGTTTAACTGATAAGGGACTTAACAGCTCTGAAAAGACAAAGGTATTCACACTTATAAGAACAATGTCACCAAGATGATGGTATGCTAATAAATTTCATCATATTAACATTCCTTTATAGTCTTGAACTCCATGTAAGAAACAAGGTATTGCTGAGCAAAAAATACAACTACAAGTACTAAACCTTCATTAGCTATTTATATGATGGACCATAGGGTTTGAAATCACAGACTATTTTAAAGCAGAACACTTGAGGAAACAAATGCTCATCATCATACCGACAAGCAAAAATGATGGTCTCACCATCTTGACATGATTTAGTCATTAAACAAATATATGCTCAATATTCTGTAATAACATCACAATGGCATTCATACCATATTAACAGTTATCAGATCATACAGACCCGCGAGAATAAGCACCAATCAGCAAACAGCTCACTGATCCACTTCCTGCCTTGGTTTTACAGTGTCGTACATTTTTCGTAGGTGAACTAATAGCTCTGTAATGCCGGTCTTTTCAGTAGCTGAAATCGCAAACACCGGTATATCACTTTTGGCTTGTATGATCTTCAAGTTTGTTACAGATATAGACAGATCAATTTTGTTTCCAACAATCACATGTGGTCGTGTAATCAATTCTGCATTGTACTGCTCAAGTTCATGCCTCAAGTCCTGATATTGCTGCCAAGGGTCATCACTGGAAAGGTCAAGGACATGCAAGAGGCAGGTACATTTCATTATGTGGCGAAGAAATGAGATACCAAGTCCCTCTGACTCGTGGGAACCTTTCACCAAGCCAGGAATATCAGCCACTGTAAAAAAAAGGATTGACATTTCAGATTAAGTCAATCTTGTTTATATGTAAAATTTCAACTTTAAAATCACAAGTAAAAATAAAAATCTTACATTAATGATGCCGCAGCCAAGATCATCGTTATCACATTGATAAAGGTAGATTACAAGTCAACTTATTACTCCTGTTTTCTGTCAGATATACTGACTACAAGGTAAAACTTAAGTCTTCAGGAGTTGTCCCCCTTCTGCTCTAGCATTTGGATTGCTGTTATAAACTACAACTTACCTATGTAGGCGTTTGAATTCACCTTACAAAAAGATTAATAATATATTCAGCTGACACCAAATACCATATTTTCAAGTGAGATGCACTATACAAAGTAAACTATTTCTTAGCAGAACTTTATCATGATATGACTGTATATACTTGATAAATGCAAGCAGTAGAAATGACATGAGGTATTTGTGATCTACCTGAGAACTGTGACTTACCCGACAGATTTTACCATCATAAAAACAGACCTACCTGAGAGCTATGATCTATTTGAGCTGTGATCACATGTACATCTGTACAGTAAAATTGTGATGCACCTGACCTGTGATGTATCTGAGTTGTGATGTACCTGAGCAGTGCAGCACTTGAGCTGTGACGTATCTGAGCTGTGACGTACCTGAGCTTTGACGTACCCGAGCTGTGATGTATCAGACCTGTGACGTACCTGAGCTGTGAGGTACCCGAGCTGTGAGGTACCGGAGCTGTGAGGTACCGGAGCTGTGATGTACCTGAAGCCATGAGGTACCTGAGCTGTGAGGTACCTAAGCTGTGATGTACCTGAAGCTGTGATGTACCTGAAGCTGTGATGTACCTGAGCTGCGATGTACCTGAGCTGTGATGTAACTGAGCTTAGACGTACCCGAGCTGCGATGTACCCGAGCTGTGACATATCTGAGCTATGAGGTACCCGTGCTGCGATGTACCCGAGCTGTGAGGTACCTGACCTGTGACATATCTGAGCTATGAGGTACCCGAGCTGCGATGCACCCGAGCTGTGATGTACCCGACCTGTGACGTATCTGAGCTATGAGGTACCCGAGCTGTGATGTACCTGAGCTGTGAGGTACCTGAGCTGTGAGGTACCCCAGCTGTGATGTTACTGAAGCTGTAATGTACCTGAGCTTTGACGTACCCGAGCTGTGATGTATCCGACCTGTGAAATACCTAAGCTGTGAGGTACCCGAGCTGTGATGTACCCAAGCTGTGAGGTACCTGAGCTTTGAGGTACCGGAGCTGTGATATATCTGAAGCCATGAGGTACCTGATCTGTGAGGTACCTAAGCTGTGATGTACCTGAAGCTGTGATGTACCTGAGCTGCGATGTACCTGAGCTGTGATGTACCTGAGCTTAGACGTACCCGAGCTGCGATGTACCCGAGCTGTGACATATCTGAGCTATGAGTACCCGAGCTGCGATGTACCGAAGCTGTGACGTATCTGAGCTATGAGGTACCTGAGCTGCGATGTACCCGAGCTGTGATGTACCCGACCTGTGACGTATCTGAGCTATGAGGTACCCGAGCTGTGATGTACCTGAGCTGTGAGGTACCTGAGCTGTGATGTACCTGAGCTGTGAGGTACCCGAGCTATGATGTAACTGAAGCTGTAATGTACCTGAGCTTTGACGTACCCGAGCTGTGATGTATCCGACCTGTGATGTACCTAAGCTGTGATGTACCCGAGCTGTGATGTACCCAAGCTGTGAGGTACCTGAGCTGTGAGGTACTGGAGCTGTGAGGTACCTGAGCTGTGATGTACTTGAGCTGTGACATATCTGAGTTGTGAGGTACCTGAGCTGCGATGTACCCGAGCTGTGAGGTACCGGAGCTGTGATGTAACCAAGCTGTGCGGTACCCGAGCTGTGATGTACCCGACCTATGACGTATCTGAGCTATGAGGTACCCGAGCTGTGATGTAACTGAAGCTGTGACGTACCCGAGCTGTTATGTACCGGAGCTGTGATGTACCTGAGCTGTAATGTACCCGAGGTGTGACGTACCTAAGCTGTGATGTACCTGAAGCTGTTATGTACCTGAAGCTGTGATGTACCTGAAGCTGTGATGTACCTGAGCTGTGAGGTACCTGAGCCATGATGTAACCAAGCTGTGCGGTACCCGAGCTGTGATGTACCCGACCTATGACGTATCTGAGCTATGAGGTACCCGAGCTGTGATGTAACTGAAGCTGTGACGTACCCGAGCTGTTATGTACCGGAGCTGTGATGTACCTGAGCTGTAATGTACCCGAGGTGTGACGTACCTGAGCTGTGAGGTACCTGAAGCTGTGATGTACCCGAGCTGTAATGTACCCGAGCTGTGATGTACCTGAGCTGTGATTTACCCGAGCTTTGATGTACTTGAGCTGTGATGTACCTGAGCTGTGATGTACCTGAAGCTGTAATGTACACGAGCTGTGACGCATCTGATCTGTGAGGTACACTAGCTGTGATTTACCCGAGCTTTGATGTACCCGGGTTGTGACGTATCTGAGCTGTGAGGTTCCTGAGCTGTGAGGTACCCGAGCTGTGAATTACCCGAGCTTTGATGTACTTGAGCTGTGACGTATCTGAGCTGTGACGTACCTGAGCTGTGAGGTACCCAAGTTGTGATGTACCCAAGCTGTGAGGTACCTGAGCTTTGAGGTACTGGAGCTGTGATGTACCTGAAGCTGTGATTTACCTAAAGCTGTAATGTACCTGAGCTGTGATGTACCTGAGCTGTGATGTACCTGAGCTTTGATGTACCTGAGCTGTGAGGTACCCAAGTTGTGATGTACCCGAGCTGTGAGGTACCTGAGCTTTGAGGTACCGGAGCTGTGATGTACCTGAAGCTGTGATGTACCTAAAGCTGTAACGTACCTGAGCTGTGATGTACCTGAGCTTTGATGTACCTGAGCAGTGCAGCACTTGAGCTGTGACGTACCTGAGCTGTGAGGTACCCGAGCTTTGATGTACTTGAGCTGTGACGTATCTGAGCTGTGACGTACCTGAGCTGTGAGGTACACAAGTTGTGATGTACCCGAGCTGTGAGGTACCTGAGCTTTGAGGTACCGGAGCTGTGATGTACTTGAAGCTGTGATGTACCTAAAGCTGTAACGTACCTGAGCTGTGATGTACCTGAGCTTTGATGTACCTGAGCAGTGCAGCACTTGAGCTGTGACGTACCTGAGCTGTGACGTATCTGAGCTGTGAGGTACCCGAGCTGTGGTGAACCTGAGCTGTGGCATATCTGAAAGTTTTGTCCTGCTATCTGATTTTCTAAATTAACCATTACCTGAGAGCTGTGACATGACCCAAACCTGAGAATTGAGCAAACTAGGACTCAGAGCACTGAGTGATCTGAAACCTTAACAGCTCTCACCTAACCAGTGCAGTGACCTGAGATCTGAGAACAGATATCTAAATGACCAAAATATCAGAGACTTATCCGAGATTTGAAATTTGTGATCTAACTGAGACTTCTGAGAGCTGTGCTCTGATTGAGACCTGTGATCTAACAGAAACCTCAAAGCTGTGTACTAACCTTGACCTGGGAGCAGTGCTCTGTTTGAGACCTGTGGTCTAACCAAAACCTCAAAGCTGTGTCCTAACCTTGACCTGAGAGCATTGCTCTGATTGAGACCTGTGATCTAACCGAAACCTCAAAGCTGTGTCGTAACCTTGACCTGAGAGCATTGCTCTGATTGAGTCCTGTGATCTAACAGAAACCTCAAAGCTGTGTCGTAACCTTGACCTGAGAGCAGTGCTCTGATTGAGACCTGTGATCTAACTGAAACCTCAAAGCTGTGACCTAACCTTGACCTGAGAGCATTGCTCTGTCTGAGGCCTTTGATCTAACCGATACCTCAAAGCTGTGTCCTAACCTTGACCTGAGAGCAGTTCCCTGTCTGAGACCTGAGATCTGTGATCTTCTCTACACTTCAAATCTGTGACCTAACCTTGACCTGCAAGCAGTTCCCTGTCTGAGACCTGAGATCTGTGATCTTCTCTACACTTCAAATCTGTGTCCTAACCTTGACCTGAGAGCAGTTCCCTGTCTGAGACCTGAGATCTGTGATCGTCTCTACACTTCAAATCTGTGACCTAACCTCGACCTGCAAGCAGTTCCCTGTCTGAGACCTGAGACCTGTGATCTTCCCTACACTTCAAAGCTGTGACCTAACCTTGACCTGAGAGTTGTGCTCTACTTGTGAGTCCTGACTTTACCCAAACCTTCTGTGACCTAACCAGAATCTACTAAAGAAGCAGTGACCTAACCCAGACCTGTGACTTACCTGATACTTGTTCATAATCATCATACTGGACCATTCCAACGTGTGCACTACGTGTGGTGAAAGCCTGTTCGGAGGTCAGTGGACGGGCCCTTGATATCGCACGAAGAAGTGATGACTTACCAGCATTGGGGAACCCAACCTGAAGCCAACAACAGATTATTACAAATTAAAGATTTCTACAATACTGAGGTAAAATACATACATCTGTCTCAATGTACACAAAGCTAACGTTAAATAATTAAAGGAAAGAAAGAATATGTTAAAAGATTTGATGACAATGCTGATTTAACATAGGTAAGTAGGCATCTGTTATAGTTTTGGATTTACCTTAATATAAAATCTTTATTTTCAATGCAAATTGATTCCTAGTAAATTACTTACAGTACTCATATTGTGAATATGTGTAGACTACAGTCAAACATGTTCAAGAAACTAACTGCATAAAATAAACACTTTTAAAACTCTCCAATGCAGTTATTTTCATGTGAACTGAACCTGCATTTATAGACCACCCACAAAAAGAGACCACTTTCTGGAATTCCCAAAGGTGGTTACCAAATACGAGTTCAATAGTACTGACATATAATGTAACTGTATATTTATCTCTGTAGAACATCTTCTACAAATAATCAAGTTTCACTAGCATTTATTAAGGTTATTTTACAAGATAAATTTTACTTGTTTTTTTTTATGGTGAATACACTTTTTCTAGTGTTATCTGCCAAATGTGATTTTAACCCAATTCTTCACTCCGACAGTTCCTCTACAATAAATTACAGTGTAGGGTCTAACAACCCTGCAACAGAGGTCAAAGGTATACTCCTATAACATAAGAGGCCGCTGGTCAGTTATTTTTTACCCAGCATTTGTCAAGATGTCTCACCGTGTTAAGCCTCCAACATTGTTGGAGTAGTCAAAGGTCATGATCTGGTGACCTTTCTTTCAATAAACAGATGCTTACATATACACTGGGAGTTTGGGGGTGTCACACTAAAGGAGCTCCCCAAAATATGATTTCTCGGTGTTGTTAGCACCTACACTATATTATAGAGAAACAGTGAAGAGAATTGGGTGCGAATCAAAGTCCAAATTGCCTTGAACAACGAAAACTTTAACCCCCTTATTAACCAGCTTGTCTTTTGTAAATGGGATGAAAGAATGTTCACTGTTTCCTGATCAATACTACCTAGTCATATTCTAACTCATGGTTTCAATACTTAAATGGTGTTCATTTTTGGTTAGCACTCAAAGAAAATCAATTATTAACCAAACTGAATGAACTAGAATTAGTACATTGTTTATTATTACATGACAAAAATATCCTCTTTTGATTAAAACCATGAACATTTTGTTTCCGCTGACACTGAAGTCACCTACCAATCCAGCATCTGCCATTATCCTCATTTCAAGCTGTATGGAGTTTTTTTCACCCTTGGCTCCGTTTTCAGCAATTTTTGGGGCAACATATGTGCTGGTGGCAAAAGCTGTGTTGCCTCGTCCCCCTTTGCCTCCATGAGCCCCTATATAGTAATCACCGGGGTCGTCCAGGCAGGTAAGTAGCTCCCCATCTTCACTGCGGAAAACCGTTCCTATGGGCACCTGTCAAGGTACAAACAAACTTAATCTCCCCAGATAGGTAAAGCATATCAGGGTACCTAGACAATAGGTGAAGCATATCAGGGTTCCTAGACAATAGGTAAAGCATATCAGGGTTCCTAGACAATAGGTAAAGCATATCAGGGTACCTAGACAAAAGGTGAAGCATATCAGGGTTCCTAGACAATAGGTAAAGCATCATCAGGGTTCCTAGACAATAGGTGAAGCATCATCAGGGTCCCTAGACAATAGGTGAAGCATCATCAGGGTTTCTAGACAATAGGTAAAGCATATCAGGGTTCCTAGACAATAGGTGAAGCATCATCAGGGTACCTAGACAATAGGTGAAGCATATCAGGGTTCCTAGACAATAGGTTAAGCATCATCAGGGTCCCTAGACAATAGGTGAAGCATCATCAGGGTTTCTAGACAATAGGTAAAGCATATCAGGGTTCCTAGACAATAGGTAAAGCATATCAGGGTTCCTAGACATGAAATATACAACAATTTACTGGCGATGCAACTATGATAACTACTTTCAGAGCATATAACACTTCTTGGTATAACTGAATATTTTTGTTCAATTCTCTTCATTACTTACAAATTAACTGAACATCCACAGGATGCTAAAGATTGTGAAGTAAAAGATTACTGCTAATTTCTGTACACAAAAAGGCACTATAAATATCAAGCTAAATATATTTGAAATTTCAAACTACACTGGATTTGGTTTGGTTTATTTGTGTTTACGACCTATTAACAGCTATGGTCATTTCAGGACATGTCAAGTTTTGGTAGTGGAGGAAAGCCGGATTTCCCGTAGAAAAACCACCGACCTACGGTCAGTACCTGGCGACTGCCCCACATAGGTCTCAAACCTGCAACCCAGTGGTGGAGGGCTAGTGGTAGCAGAATGTCAGACGCCTTTAAACTAAGTGGTTAAGCCACTGCTGCTCCCAAACCACAAATGAACAACAAATTCTTTGCATGAATTGGTCATAATTTATTTTATAAGAAAGGGAGTTGTGATTTAGTTAACCTGGCTACTCACTGGGATGAAAGTGTGTTGACCACTCTTGCCTTGAAAGTTGCGTTTGGCACCATTCCGTCCGTCTTTTGCCGACACTTGTCCTGGAATTTTTGTCAATGACTTCACGTTCTGACTTACTGATGAAGGAAATCAAAAAATTATAAAGTGATCTTGCTGTTAATTTTTTTCACTCAAGTAGTGGTTCAAACACTGATGTCTTCAGGTCATGCATGAAAACTGTTTAAGAAAATGTGATATAACAGTAAACAAGAGATCCCAGAGGGATCTTGGCGCCCACCTTTGTACCATCTTCATTAGTTCTTTGTCAGTTCAATCTTTTCTCTTCTTTCCTCTAATCTGTTTGATCGAGTCATGTTAACAGTATATGCACCTTGAAGTAACTTTTGATCTAAACTTAATACTGATGCGTATGAAAGCCAACCTTCAAAGTGAGTTTGTCATTTCATATATTTACTAGTACAGTACTTAATGTGAAAGAAATAGAATCGATCATTGCAATATGAGAAAGATCTGTTTAGTTCTTTTTTTAATCCATTTTGTTTTTATGATCAGTGTCAAAATATAACATGCACAACGAGGGATCATGGGGAACCTACATATAAAATTTGAGAAAGATCCCTCTGGTACTTCTTGAGAAATAGTGATAACAAACTTTCACTATCAAAATCCAAGATGGGTGCCTGTCGGCCATGGTGTTTATCCGATCAGTCTCTAAAATTGCCCTGCACAGCTAGGATCAAGGCGAACCTACATATAAAATTTAAGAAAGATCCCTCTAGTTCTTCCAGAGAAATAGCGGTAACAAACCTTCAATATCAAAATCAAAGATGGGTGCCTATCGGCCATGTTGTTTATCCGACCAGTCTCAAAAGTTGCCCTGTACAGCTAAGGACCCAGGGGAACCTACATATAAAATTTGAGAAAGATCCCTCAGGTACTTCCCGAGAAATAGCGATAACAAACTTTCACTTTCAAAATCCAAGATGGCTGCCTGTCAGCCATGTTGTTTATCCGATCAGTCTCAAAAGATGCCCTGCACATTAAAGGACCAAGGGGAACCTACATATAAAATTTGAGAAAGATCCCTCTGGTGCTTCTTGAGAAATAACGATAACAAACTTTCAATATCAAAATCCAAGATGGCTGCCTGTCAGCCATGTTGTTTATCCGATCAGTCTAAAAAGTTGCCCTGCACAGCTATGGACAAAGGGGAACCTGCATATAAAATTTGAGAAAGATCCCTCCGGTACTTCTTGAGAAATACTGATAACAAGAATTGTTTAAGGACGGACGACGGACCACGGACGCAGGGTGATTTGAATAGCCCACCATCAGATGATGGTGGGCTAAAAATCTGTCACATTTGGTTGTATAAGTGCGACTGTACATGTGATCACTTTGGAGATTGTGACAAAATTTCCAATTGACAAAATGTTCCTATAACTCTCTTTTTTTGAAATCCTTGAATGTTAATTTATTCCAACTAATCATTCATTGATAATAATATAATTAATTACATTGTAATACAACACAGCATCAAGAACATCAAAATATGACCTATGAACTTTCACATGTTTTCTTTACCTTGAAAGACAACATGGCCTCCGGAACCACCATTACCACCATCAGGTCCAGCAAACTGCTTGTGTCGGGTACTGGCAAAGGAAATCACACCATCTCCTCCTTTACCTCCGTTCACCACGCAAGCATGCCAGTCAACGAAATAGGACGGCTGTAACAACATTGTTAATAGAGGTATCATCTCCTTCAAATGAAAGTCTGAGGGGATACTATATAGCACGATAGGTTTGTGGGTACTTTCATTCGTGGTTTGAAGCCATTTAGATTGTTTCGTGGTACACAAACTTTTGTGGATATCCTATATTAACAAACAGTAAATAATAAAATAATAAATATATGTATATCATTCAAATTTGTTGTATTCATTTTTGTGGTTCAATAGCAACAAGGAAAACCACAAATGTTTATACACAACGAACATTTCATGTTATTTACAGTATAGCGTTCTGCCTGTATTCTGCTCTTGTCATCACTCTAAAGAATTGATTTCTTATCAGAATTTCATGAAACTTTATCAAAATTGTGGAGATGACAATGCCTTGAACAAATTCGTATTCAATACTCTATGCAAAAGGTCAAATTCACAATAACAAAATGAAAAAAAAGAAGAATTACAATGTGCTGAGAAACACACTTTTTCTATTATTTTCTTCAAAATGGTGTCGGACAGCATGTATTTTGCAACAGGATTGGTATCACTTGAAATGCCATGTTTACTGATATAACTAGATTTTGTTTTAATTGTCCAGTAGATTGGTTGGTTGTATAGGGTTTAAGGTCCTATCAACAGCTAAGATCATAAAAGTTTTTTCAACAATGGCAGCAAAATACATTCATGTTAAATAGACATGCACAAACATTTAATAAAGACCTATACTTTCATTACATGTATACCACTATTGATAAGTCATCTTAAAATGATGTCAACTCTTTATAAACACATGCTTTTACATTTGCATTTAATAAAAGAGGACGGAACAGAAGAAACTGACTGTGCAGAAGTTAGAAAATGCAGTCTTCAGAAAACATAACTAATAAAAGGCAGACAAAAAGATAATGAAAAAAATAGGATATCTGCTGCTCTTGTCAATACGGGACAAAACGTGTATTATTCATATACAAAATTGTACAAATAGTACATTTTATGTCAGTGATTATGTATTGGTATTATATGGGAGAATGTGTCTAACACCAAAACTTACCCTAAGGTGTAGAAATGAGCTTCAGAACCTTGACCAAGCTTTAAATCATTCGCCCCTGAAATTTCATAGTGAACTATTCCAGCCTTTGAATTGGAAGAGTTCAAATGTGTCTTCAGGGGTAAATGAGTTAACCCAAATTCAAATCCAGATTTTCCATATCTCCATACCTACTGTGACAGACTGCACTAACAGATGATCCAACAATACCTACCTCCTCTTTGTCCGATCCCTTTGGTTTTGCGTTAAGTATAGGTTGTGCTACTTTGGATGCGTGCCGCCTCACCGCCCTTGCTGGGATATTTAGACCTAGTTTTACGTACAAACGCAGTACACAGTAGGTCATCCTCTGCCCCAACACCATCTTCTATCCTTGATTTTATCAGAAATAAAATAATTGCAATGAGTATTAAATTATGGTAAATATTATTTATTTTTTTAGATAAGGAATCAACTTTCTCTAACTTAAAACAACTTATAAAACATTTGATATTCCTCTTGATTTTATATAGTTTTTTTTTATCTTACTTCAGTCATCAATGTAAAATAAAATTGGTTGGATTGATAGGGAAAACACATAAAGATTTTTTATTTTTTTTTATGTTTTCATGGTGGTTTTTTTGTCCAGTAAAAACAAGGCATCCAGGGGGCCTGTATCGCTTATCTCGATATTATGCCATCATGGCAAAATATTCCAATCAAATATACTGTATATATATTCAAATATTGGCTCTGTTCTGTTTGCCTAGCAAAGCTCTCAACCAAATAATTTGGTTATAATCCCTCTATTAGTATGAAGAGAAAAATATTTTACCTTTATTGCCCCTATTAGGCCCCACCCATCTGCACCCCGGCCCCTTTTCCCAAGGATGCCAAAGACCAAATTTGGTTAAATCCTTCTATTCTTATATATGAATTTAATTGAAAGGAGAAGGATTTTTCAGATTACCAGGTAACCTCTATTTTCCTATTAGGAACACCTGCCCCCCCCCCCCCCCCCCCAGTTCCCTTTTGACCAAATTTGGTATAAAAAACACACCATTCCTATGGGAGGCGACAGATTTTAAAGATTTACACCTATTTGGCCCAACCAAGGGGGTCACACCCTCCTTTTATACAAAATTAAATCCCCTTTGCCCAAGGATGCTCTAGACCAACTTTGGTTAAAGAAAGATTTTAGACTTTCACCTCTATTTCCCCTATTACTCAACCAGGTCTGCCCATTTGCCCCCAGGGAGAGGTACACACCCTAAGTTTATACAAAATTGAGTCCTCTTTTAGTGCCCATGAATGATCTTAACCAAATTTAGTTAAAATGGTCCAAATCTAGTTAAAATCCCTCAATTTATAAGGAAGGATTTTTTTTTATGATTCACCCCCATTCAGTATTTAAATACAAATAGGGCACTCCCATCCCGATTATCAGCATCCTTGTAAAATATGGATATTAATGAACTTAAACTGAAAACGCCAATGATGAAGCCAAGATGACTTCTGACAATGACTGTTTACAATTCGAACCATCAATGAGTTTTTTCAAAAACTTTATGCCTTCCTCATGAAACAAAAAGTTTATTTGAACTGTTTTTTGGTACCATTGGTATATTTATATAAACACCAAAATAAAGGCTCACACCTGAATGTCATTAGAGATAGTGAGGAAGAAGCAAGTCACCATTATTTTACTGCAATTACCTGTAAAAAAAGGAGCTTCCTACAATAACTTTTCTTAAATAACGAATTCACATGGGAAAAGTCAAATTTTACATAATTTGGAAAAGCCACAACTGAGACTGCATTGTCTCCTTAACGAAACTGCACAACGGTCATGATGTTGAGTCTGCTTGTGTCAGACTATATTATAAGTGAGGCAAAGCAAAAAAGTATGCACGACTGTTCTTGTAAAGGGGTTTCTTTTGAGAGTTTCTTACTTAATTTAAATAAAGAATAATATCCTATGCATGAACACATTTTTTTTGTTATTTAAACATGTAGACAATACAAATGTCAAAATAATGTTAACATTTTTTCCTGATAATTATCCATCGTTTTAGAAGCACTTAAGCATTATCAGTGACAATTGTACACTATCTGATCATGTGCTAAAAATAGTTGAGCACAGAAACTGTTCACTAAAATAATATTGGCGTTGTTATGATGAGAACGACAAGATTGGATAAGTTGTTATTGTAGAGTAAAGGCGTTGATTACTAAGGCATTGATTATTAACTGTCTTTCTAAGTAAAATTTAAGACAACACACTGATTTGGCTTTCACCTTTGTCTTACAAGGGCTCAAAACTGGTCATTTTTCTTTCTAATTTTATCACTTTTTACAGAGCTATTTTGATCTCTGGAAACAAGTGTTTATCTCAGTTTTGCGGGACAAAAAATGTGTGGAATACCCGGCCCGACGACGGTTTTGATAAATATCGGTGGTTCTAAAATTGATTGGAAGCTGACAGTACTCGACTAATATCTGCGACTTACGGCTACCGGTTTGATTTTAGCGAATGTGTTGTGCTACGTTTGTTAATATAGCTTGTACGGCTCATGATCACAAAACCTGTAGCCTTAAGTCACAGATATTAGATATCATAGAACAAAATGATGGTTAGCCAAAAATGAACGCAACATACAACGATATATAACATTTCTATGGTCAGGCAGTCACTTACAATGATCACGGTAAAAACACGTGAGTTATTCCATGTGACGTCAAAGGTCAAGGTTTAGCAAAACACTATTTCTTAAAAACTACCAACGCTTATAATATGTAATATAACCGACGATTTCGCGAAATGATAAAAATTAGATAGGTATGAAATATAGAGTATAATATTTTGAGACTTATTTGATTTACTTCAAGAATTATTCACTGCGATCCTACGATTGAGGTCAAAGTTCACAGTAAGCTGTCAGGCTAAACCGGAGAAGATGGTGCTAAAATCAGAAGAGGAGATTATAAAATATTCTATGACCGAGGAGGATCCAAACTCCAACGCTCAGATTGTAATTGCCGAGGAAGTTTCGAAGCCAAGATGGGGACCACAGCATGCAGGAGCCCAGGAACTTGCCAGCCAATACACAAAAGGTGTTGTTTGCGTTGCTAACTACCATGCTCCGATTTCATAACTTTCTCATGCCGTGAAAATATACCATGTTGATAGTTGATTTTAGTTATCATAACTTATCAATCACTGATGTATTCGTTAAGGTGTTTAATTGTGGCTTAAATATATTAAAGACAGTGGGAACCATGAGTTGATATTTAGACTGATTGGAAATATTAAATGTCATAGTGACAGTTGGCAGATAACCAACTGCTGATCAATTAAAGACCTCTGCAGAAATCAATGTAAATCAGTGAGGTAATTGAGAGGGATAGCTACCCACCAGGCCATAATTACTGGTCAATTATTTGTTCATTCCCAGTTAACTTCCATTAAGTTGTAAGTGACTCTTGCTAGACTCTTTTATGATATTTTCATAGTTTATTTTACATTGCAACGATATACAAAATATTATAATTGCACTGCTGCTCGACGGTAATCATGTGCACCTAAGGAAAAAATAAGTATGAAACAATTTCTTTTAAAATCCTGTTTAAAAAAGAATTGGCCTTGAGTAAGACTACTTGTTCCGCCTTAAAAATTTTTATTTAGGCCGAAACAACCTAGCGCGAAACGACCTGGGGCAATAGGTATTTAGGGCGAAAACGACTTGACATCAGTTTCTGAGCCCCCCAGGTGAAATTTGTGGAATAAATATTGATGTGTAAGATAACTGGATCGAAGCACAAAATGACAGGAACTGGCTGTATTATTAATCAGATGTATACAGTATCTCAGCTCTATACTGTGCTGTACGTATGCTTAAATAAAACTCGAAAAATAACTGCAGCAAATCTGCAAATATTTCGCACCAGCAAGTCTGCTCATTTGAAAATGAAAGCATACATCTAGTGTTCCAGGGTTTGTATCAGATCCTGTTGCTTTTTCCTTTCATGGTCTGTTCATCTTGTTTTTAAGTAGTTTGTGTGTGCGTTTGTCATCTGAACATGGATTGTAGAAGTACTAGCATTGTCTTCAGAGGTTAAGGTTAACCTATGGAAAAACGAGGGACACGGCCTGGTGATTATAATAAATACTCACTACCGATCCGATGACAATGTGGCGCAATATTAGTTTTAACGTAAATCTTCAATTTGAAGGACCCTGGTTTGTGTCATGGTTTGTTTTCATTTTCTATCTTATGTTTCACATATAAGACTGTTAGGAATGATTTGATGTTAGGAAAGAGTTTTCTCTCTGTGTAAATGAACTTCAGTTGAGGTGAACATTGTGGACATACAAATTAAATATTCTAACTATATATATAGGATCTTAAATGAGTTTTCATATCATATGAGATTTTATGAAACGACAAGACAAGTTTCATAAATGCTCATATGAAATGAAAACAAATTTAAGATAATTTTTATCACATTACTCAGAAAACTTAAATTTTGACAGGTTTTAAAGCCAAAATGTAGAGGGCTTAATCAAACAGAGACAGCCATTTGGTTGCGCCATTCACAATTTATGACGTCACATCATTGTCCATATTATGACGTCACAATCGATTTCTGACTGGTATAACCAATGAAAAACGCTCAAGGGTATATTACACTAATGACATATGTAAAAATATTATAAGGGCGAATTCACTGGATAACAGGCCGATTATGTGATAAATATATATATAATGTCTGTAAGTGAAGCATTAATACAACCTAGTTTAGATCTCAGTAATACCTAATGTATAATAAACATAATAAGAACTATATATATTCCGTCAATTCAATCTGAGTACATATATATATATCCTACAAAGTTATTTAATGCAATGGCAATAGTTATATATACGTATTACAAGAAAACGCTTAAAATATCATTGATTCTTATGTAGATTATACCATATTAGGAAATAATATATAAAGTCAGAGGGGTTTTGTGATTCTGCTAGAGAAACTTTTGCAACCTTTCATATATTAAAGTTGCAACATTTTATATACAAAGGTAGCTAGTTATTCTTGGAGCATGATGCCCCACCTCAGTCCACCTCCTCGTCCGTCATCGTTTGCACCTTAGCCCTTTGACCAATGTTATGTCAATGTTATGCTAAAAAATACTTCGCCCCATTTTCAAAATATCCCCCTCTTTTATGAAATACATGAGAGAAAAAACTCGCAATAATGAACCCAGGGTCCTCTACTGCTCTAGATCTATAAGTCAAAGGTCAAATGATTAAGTGGAAAGCATATATGCATTGACTAATAAGGGGAGATGATAATGTTTTTAAGCTCATGCATAAACAAATCTCTATTTCCTTGTTGCATTAAGAGATTGTTGATGATAAAGCCTTGCTATTTTTCTTGCTCAATCATGGTCATTTGTGGTGGAGTATTTGGATGAATCATACAGTACAGCATGACATTTTCATCAGATCTGTGTACTTCCTGTATATATATCAGTGGAGACTGTTATACTGTATAATACGTGATAGAGTATACATAGCTAGGGTACAGTGTAGGCTAATTTATTACATACACTACAGGTCAGTTGGTGAATCTGTATCTAATGATATAGCCAGTATTAAACCGATTGTGGTGTATTACCCCAGTAGCGTAAACTTTTTTTTTTGCTTGAACTCATCAGTTGTTTGGTTTCGTTTTAATAGTAGAATTGAGACATTTTAGCACCATTTTGCTCTATGGTAATTATGATGACATTTTGTCTGTTCGGTCAATGGTAATTATAATGACATTTTGTCTGTTCGGTCAATTTTTTGGGAAGCAAATTAAAAATGAACAAAGGATAATTATGAGTAATGCTTTAAGAACAATTGTAGGTACTTGTATGTAGTAAAAGCACTACCTCACATACATGTTCATCTGATGTCTCACATTGCACTCGTTTACACTCCTACATCTGATGTCTCACATTGCACCTGTTTACACTCCTACATCTGATGTCTCACATTGCACCTGTTTACAATCTTACATCTGATGTCTCACATTGCACTCGTTTACACTCCTACATCTGATGTCTCACATTGCACTCGTTTACACTCCTACCTCTGATTTCTCACATTCCACTCGTTTACACTCCTACATCTGATTTCTCACATTCCTCTCGTTTACACTCCTACATCTGATTTCTCACATTCCACTCGTTTACACTCCTACATCTGATGTCTCACATTCCACTCGTTTACACTCCTACATCTGATGTCTCACATTGCTCCTGTTTACACTCCTACATCTGATGTCTCACATTGCACCCGTTTACACTCCTACATCTGATGTCTCACATTGCACTCGTTTACAATGTCTCACATTGCACCTGTTTACAATCTTACATCTGATGTCTCACATTTCACTCGTTTACACTCCTACATCTGATGTCTCACATTGCACTCGTCTACACTCCTACATCTGATGTCTCACATTGCACTCGTTTACCCTCCTACATCTGATGTCTCACATTGCACCTGTTTACAATCTTATATCTGATGTCTCACATTGCACTCGTTTACACTCCTACCTCTGATTTCTCACATTCCACTTGATGTCTCACATTGCACCTGTTTACAATCTTATATCTGATGTCTCACATTGCACTCGTTTACACTCCTACCTCTGATCTCTCACATTCCACTCGTTTACACTCCTACATCTGATTTCTCTCATTGCACTCGTTTACACTCCTACATCTGATGTCTCACGTTGCACCTGTTTACACTCCTACATCTGATGTCTCACATTGCACCCGTTTACACTCCTACATCTGATGTCTCACATTGCTCCTGTTTACACTCCTACATCTGATGTCTCACATTGCTCCTGTTTACACTCCTACATCTGATGTCTCACATTCCACTCGTTTACACTCCTACATCTGATGTCTCACATTGCTCTTGTTTACACTCCTACATCTGATGTCTCACATTGCACTCGTCTACACTCCTACATCTGATGTCTCACATTGCACTCGTCTACACTCCTACATCTGATGTCTCACATTGCACTCGTCTACACTCCTACATCTGATGTCTCACATTGCACTCGTCTACACTCCTACATCTGATGTCTCACATTGCACTCGTCTACACTCCTACATCTGATGTCTCACATTGCACTCGTCTACACTCCTACATCTGATGTCTCACATTGCACTCGTTTACACCCCTACATCTGATGTCTCACATTGCACTCGTTTACGCTCCTACATCTGATGTCTCACATTGCACCTGTTTACAATCTTTCATCTGATGTCTCACATTGCACTCGTTTACACTCCTACCTCTGATTTCTCACATTCCTCTCGTTTACACTCCTACATCTGATTTCTCACATTCCTCTCGTTTACACTCCTACATCTGATTTCTCACATTCCTCTCGTTTACACTCCTACATCTGATTTCTCACATTGCACCTGTTTACACTCCTACATCTGCTGTCTCACATTGCACCTGTTTACACTCCTACATGTGATGTCTCACATTACACTCGTTTACACTCCTACATCTGATGTCTCCCATTGCCCCTGTTTACACTCCTACATCTGATGTCTCACATTGCACTCGTTTACACTCCTACCTCTGATTTCTCACATTCCACTCGTTTACACTCCTACATCTGATGTCTCACATTGCACTCGTTTACACTCCTACATCTGATGTCTCACATTACACTCGTTTACACTCCTACATCTGATGTCTCACATTGCACTCGTTTACACTCCTACATTCTGATCTTGAGATGTCAGATAAACATGTGGTTATAACTTCCTAATAATAATTATACTGGATCACGTCATCTTGCATTCATTAGTATATTAACACAGCTAAATTTACATTCATTTATTATGCAAAACATTGATGTTTTTTTAAAGGCATATGACATTGGTTTTTTAGCTGTGAATTTAAAATGAGGAATGGATATTAATTAAAGGTTGTACTGTACTGGTAAATGGAAATTGTCTCAACATTAAATTTAAAAAGACTAAATAAGTATTTGGTGTAAAAATAATTACAACCTTTAATTCAAAAATTATCTTGATGTAAAATTCACAATTGTTTTAAAAAACAGGTACAGTCATGTCTGTTTCAAGTTTAGAGACTTGTATTTATATATACATCTATAAACAGTGAATTATGCATGGCCATTTGTATAAGTGGCTATGCATGCGAGGCAGGCAAGGCTGTGGATATATATGTATTTTATGGATGAGTGTTCCAGCAATATATGAAACATAGTTACTTAAGTCCTGAAAATATTGAAATTTATATATTATGCCACACTCATGAAATATAAATAGTATCAAACAGGTATTGTATATATATTTGGGTTCTTAACATTAAAAAAGAGCTTTTAATCAGCCAAGTTCAATACCAAAAATGAGAATTAATTTCAACAAAAGACACACCATCAATGATACATTCTCCTTTAATTAGTTATGCTGTTAGATGAAATACCAGATTCCCCTTCATTTATTTGGTATAAATGCCTAATTTGATGTTTTTATGGGGTAATAATTTTTTGGACCCTTTAAACATGATTCAAAATTTTGAATTTAATTCAATATTACAAAGGACTCATTACGGAATGTGTTTAAAACATCATACTGCACAATATAGATGATATATTGTACCTTCCTGTGTATGAGTATTCTACAACTTAACCCATTCACTGCAGAAGTCATATATAACTTTACCAGATTAAAGACTTGGCAAGTCCACTTTAAAAATGTAGGGGTGGATAAGTTAATCTGAGACAGTAGTAATGTGTATATACTTGCCAACCTTTTGAAATTTCATGGAAGAGATTCTGCCTGCTCAGACTTTATACCTCAATTAAATGTGTGTATATACCCCCCTAGATACAAACTTACCCTTTATAATGATATAGTTTGAATGCTTCTTTAAAATGAAATAATTATATCTTAGAATATATATATAGGGATAGTAAGCAATTTTACTGGTTGGAAACGTTAAGCTTATAGTGGTCGTGCACCTAAATCGAGAGTTGGCAATGTAAGTATATATGGTATTAATATTGTTTGCAGTGGACCAGTGCACGTGGTGTACATTGTAGATCTATGTGACAGTTATATTATAATTAGCACTTACACATGTACAGTGTTTGGTACGATCATTACCTTCCTGTCTTATTTATTCATTTATTTTATAACCAACACGCCAGAAGCTTGGCCCACTGAAAAGTTTGATAACAAATAACCATACACTGTAAAAGACAATGACAATTTACATCGGGGGAAGTTCTATCTACAACAAAAAGTAATGTCGCCCCTTCGTATAGTCTTCATATGCTCTGTCTGTTAAACATGTCTTTTATCAGACCAGATTGTTTAAATGCGTTTCCTTATATTTGAGTCAATTACATTGTACATGTATTTTTAATGAGGTTTCCATTGTATTTAAAGTGTAAATTGCACATAATTTAATCACAATTAGGTAACAAACACAGTATATATATCTACTTAAAACTGAATAAAACATGTATATATATATGTAGCTTACAGTAACGTTTCGGTTTAAGGACTAATTAACCAATGATGACAAATAATATTTACTAGAACATGAACGGGCAAATCCTGTTTTGCGGTACACTAATATAATGTCCAAATCTCAGTCATAAGCAAGAGCTCAATAAAAGCAGGTGAATTGTATGCACAAACATCTTGAATCTACATAATTAACTGCATGTACACCAAAGTACATGTATAAATGATTAAAACACAGTTGCAGATAGATATATGTATCTTAACCCTTTCAGCACTGTAGACCTTAATGGACTTATCCAACTTAATGCATGGTAGAGTTTATTCAAGTTACCTAGGGATGAAAGGGTTAGGTGGACACTAAGTAGTGTGTAGACATTTTAATTGTATCACTACATATATCACAGGCTCTTCAAATTTGACACATGTACCGGTAGTAGGCCATTAGCTCATCCTGATGATCATGCGCATATACTGTCAGTATCCCCGCTTATGCACAAACTTTTGTATAAATGTACGTAGTATAAATGTTGATTATTTAATAACTGCAATACCCTTTGGACCATGGGTTGCAACAATAGATACTTCAGTTTCTATTAAAATGTATGCATACATGTACATATATATGCGTATATGATATAACGCAGTGGGGTTATAGCGGGCCATTTTGACGACATGTTAAAACAAATACTGCAGTAAGTCAATAAGGGCTGTATGCATACAACAGTTGGACTACTAAGTAAAGCTAAATTGCAGTGTAATGTAGTGAATATAACTCAGTGTCATTTTCTTTAGCCCCTAAAAATGACTGATTCCAGTCACACATATGTATTATTTAAGCAAAGAGTATATGATTATTCTGTGTATCATTTTAACCCATTGAGATATGACAGGCCCATTTGACCACTTGCTATAATGCTATAATATTACCATATATAACTAAATGAGGATATGACATTTCATTTTGACTAGTAGTACTTGTTGCAATATCTACTCATTAAAGGGTATGGCAGGCCATTTAGACCTCTTACAATTGTTACAAAATTCAATATATAACTTGGTGAAGGTATGACAGGCCTTGTGGACCTCTTGCTGCAGTATCTATATATAAAATGCAATATGCTCATTACAACCTTTTGGGGCATTTTTTGCCTATTAAATACTGCAGCATGGTACATGTACCTATTACATGTACTGGATTACCCCCTGATCTACCCTATAGATTCCCCACGTATCTCTGCAATGCAGAATAGAGTAGGCCAATGAACCATCCTGTTATAGAGGAGATGATAACATGCAACTGTCTGGTGATGGGGTTGGGGTATAGGGTGCGACAGCCCTCGTCACTAGAGTAGATTGAGAGTTTGTATGTATACACAAATCTGTGATATTGTTCCTTCAATGGGAATTCTTACTACATCTTGATTTTTTTATTATGTTACTGAATAAATATCGCTAGCCCTTTAAAAAGTGGAGTCCCAAGCAAGTGGTTAGTTTGGTTACACATTAGATTATGAGACAAAACAGTAGAATAATGGGATCTGTTCAAGCTTTTTAGCTTATTTTAATTAAAAAAATAAGGGGGTTAATGCTATCACTGGAGGCCAATCTAATCACATGATGTTAACCTCTGATAGATGTCATGTGATGAGAGGTGAATGAGTTGGTTTAGCACTCTAGATCAAGGTTTATACATACACATATATATACATGTGTGTCTTATTATAGCTGGTGTACAATATAGGCTTCCAGAAGGAATTCAGAATCAATAGAAGTTAGGATAGGCAATGGGTGCTTTACACACAAATTATAGGTATATATACCAAGTAATTCTAGACTCATTATCATACATCTATTTCTCACAGGAATTCAAAATATTGGTGGGTGTTACACTACAAAAGAGCTGGTGCTACATCCACCTGGTGCTAACACTTATAAATATGTTGTCAATGATGATGTAGTCACTTAGAAGTGGTATATATAATTATATACTATTGTAGATAGAAAGTGTACGGTTCTGTATAGGTATAGTCATCAATGATGATGTAGTCGCGTAGAAGTGGTATATATAATTATATACTGTTGTAGATAGAAAGTGTACGGTTCTGTATAGGTATAGTCATCCGGAATTCTAATTCTACTAGTGTCTGTATTTATAGACAGATCTGGATATAATGTCAGTTGTATTCCCCGATACCAAAGCAGAGAAAGAAATATCCTACGCTTGATAGCTAAAGCCAGGGCTCTGAAAAATTGTATGCAGATTAATGAGATTATCAAAAGTGACGGGATTAGCCCAATGAACATAATGAGTTGATTTATGGTATTTTTTTCTCCATTTACTTATGTGTTCTCAAACTATTTTGTAAATAGTGACATTAACAATCATGTAACTAACAATAAATTTAAATCTTGATTCCTTTCAAAGTTTTATATCTCTACCAATCCCCCCCCCCCCTCCATAAAATGGGTGGGCACATATAGTGCTGCCCAGGTCTGCCTGTCCATCCGTGTGTCACACTTCATTTTGTGATAATCACTTTACCTCCTTCACTCTTCATTTTGTTGCTACAAAACTTAAGCCAGTATATACGTGGTATTCAATAGTGAAATAACTTCAAGTTCACGTTCCAGTTTCCTGGATATAAGGTCGAGGTCACTATTGCTAATATAAGTGAAATTAGCTTTGTAAAAAAATAATTGATGTTTCTCCTGATGTAGATGAAACTGTATGTTAATATAAATATAAAAATATCTTCCATCACTCTTTTAGCTTCTTTGCTGATAGAGATTAAAATTTACATGTATAAGTATTTATTTCACAAATACCTCAAACACATGTGTTTAACAGTGATGAATCCGAGGTCAAGTTACTTACCAAGAATAGAAAGTCTTTGTCATGGCACTGTTGGTTTCATTTTTCTTTGATTTAAATGAAACTTTATGCAAGTATTGAACATGACCTTAAACAAGTTTGTGATTCTGGGTTCTGGATCAAAGATCAAGACTTTTAATGCTTTAAATAGAAAACAGTCACTGCTTTTCCACCTTCCCCTCTTGTTCAGTTTGAATAAAAAGACACACTTGTGTTCAGTTTTCAAATATCTCAACAAATTTATAATTTCTGGAACGAAAGTTGATGGGTTTAAAATGAAATGAAATGTTATTTATCAGGGTGACTGCAGACTGACCTGTTTTGTGTGTAATTTCAGGCAAACGGATCCAGGAGACTATTTGTATAGGGGTTAGTACCACATTGATCGCCCACAACTTTATCATGTTGTGTTGGAATTTCCACCTTGACAAGTGGTACTTCGTCATCGCTTCTGCCTGTAAGTATAGAGTTTGATGGCAGTTTTTAGGAACTACAATATTTTAAAAATTTAAAAAGCCAAGCTCAACATACCATATTGATCCAAATAATCATAATAAGCACTTTGTGAAATTAGAAAAAACTGTTTTTTCTTTCTTAAAAATAACCATAAAATATAATATACTTACCTGGTAAGTAAGCTGGCAAATTTTGGTCAAGGGATGGGAGACTTGGAGAAGGAAAGGAAATGGATGCTGGGGATGGGGAACTTGTTTCAAATACAGTAAATATGAGGATCATGTGTATTTAGACCAAATATTCTAAAATAATATCAAGTAGTATCTAAATTTAAGTTTCAGACTTAAAATTTACAAATTTCTGTTCATGGACAGTTCATTATATTTGCCTCAATACCATCATCCTTTGAACTCGACAAAGCAATATTTAAATTTTATGTGTACAATTGTATTTCCATTTTCCATACTCAGAGTACGTAGAGATTCTCATTCACCCCTGAATTTTCATAATGAACTGTTCCAACCTTTGATTTGTGTCTTCAGGGGTGAATGGGTTAAAGCAGTTGAGAATTTGGCTGTGTCATCTCAAATAAGTGATCATCAATTTTAGCACTGTAGAAAATTAATTTCATAAACCACTAGTTAGTCTTGCTAGTAGTTCATATGCAAATTTCACTAACTGAATATTATTCAACATGAAAAGGGATATTAAATTATGAACAGTTCATAATTGGGCTGGCAGTTTTTAGAAGCACTAATCCAGCCGGACATTTCACTAGTCTCAGACTATCAGGCTGTCTTATTGTCTAGCACTGGTAACCGTTTTCATTGCACAGACTAAAGAATCAGTTTACGTGTAGTTTCATTGACTCAATCTTCAGCAGAAAAGGAAATATTAGAGGTTGAATGTTAGTTCATTATCATTAAACAATACCAAGCTGTCTTTGTAATCATGGCGTTTGTTTGTTTGCCAGTACTTGGGATTTTGTCAGCAGATTTCATGAGTGGGCTGGTCCACTGGACTGCTGATTCATGGGGCTCTGTGGAACTACCTATCATAGGAAAGGTATTTATATCTATAGTTACATTGCCACTGTGTAAACCTACCAAAAACAGTCGTGAGTTATGAAACCATGAATGCAGCATGCTGATCGATATTGTGACATAATGTTATAACCATAATGTTGGAGATTGTTGACAGATGCCCGAAATTGAAAATCTATCTTTATTAAACTGTCTATATACATTTGTAAGTTGAATCCATGTCTAAAATTTGTTTTTGCACTATCCTGGTGCTTTGGGATACTATCTGTGATTACTATGTCAGTCATGTTATTTGTATGCTCACATTGCTAAAGATAACATAATTACATCAACTAATGAAAGGTTCCATGAACATTGGTACAGAAAATTTAGCTGCAATTTCAGTTTTAATGAATATATACATTGTTCAGCATACAGAGCTAGACACATCCTTGAGAGGGAAAGCTACTTATTTGAATTCTTAGAATTATGTGTTAATATTTTCAGTTTTTAGCTCATCAGGCACGAAGTGTTTGATGAATGACCTGGCCTTCACACATATTCAAGGTCACAGGGGTCAAATATGTTAAAAACTTTATACAACTTCTTCTGAATAACCAAAATGCCCAGGGTGATGATATTTGGCCAGTAGCTAGCTGAGATGAAGTGCTACAAAGTTTGTTCTAATTAATGACCTTCACCCATTTTCAAGGTCACAGGGGTCAAATATGTTAAATACTTTAAACAACTTCTTCTCAATTACCAAAATGCCCAGGGTGATGATATTTGGCAAGTAGCATGCTGAGATGAAGGGCTACAAAGTTTGTTCAAATGAATGACCTTCACCCATATTCAAGGTCACAGGGGTCAAATAGTTTAAAAACTTTAAACAACTTCTTCTGAATAACCAAAATGCCCAGGGTGATGATATTTGGCAAGTAGCATGCTGAGATGAAGGGCTACAAAGTTTGTTCAAATGAATGACCTTCACCCATATTCAAGGTCACAGGGGTCAAATATGTTAAAAACTTTAAACAGCTTCTTCTGAATAACCAAAATGCCTAGGGTAATGATATTTGGCCAGTAGCATCTGAGATGAAGGGCTACACAGTTTGTTCACCCATATTCAAGGTCACAGGGGTCAAATATGTTAAAAACTTT